TAAATATTTAAAGTAACATAAAGCACAATAAAATTAAATGAATAATAAAAAAAAAAAATAAACATAAAAAGACTAAAATAAAATAGCAAAAATCAAATTAGATTAAACTAAATCAAAAAATTTTAATTAGAAATAAAATGAAGTAAAACAATTTATATGAAGTAATGGAGGCTAAAAACAATTAAAATGAAATTAAATAAATTAAAATGAAAGAATTAAATAAAACTAAAATACAAATAAATTCAATAAATTGAAATAAAATTAAATTAAACTAGAATACAGTAAAGTGAAATGTAAAATAAAATAAAATAAAATATAATAAAATAAATAAAATAAAACAAAATAAAATAAAATGAAATAAAATAAAACAAAATAAAATAAAATAAAATTAGTAAAATCAAATTAAAGTAAAATAAAAAAATTCAAATTACATAAAAATATAAAACAAATTAAAATATAATAAATTTAAATACAATAAATAAAAAAAATAAAAATGAAGTAACATAAATCAAAATCAAATTTCCCAATAAAAATTAATATGAAAATTAAATAAAGTAAAAAAAATAATAAAAAATATTATTAAACAACTATTAAAACTAATTAAAATAAAAGAAATTGGGAAATGAAAACGAAACAAAATAAATTACAATAGGGATAATTAAAAAATAAAAATTTAATAAAAAATATTAAATAAATTACACTAAGGATAATAAAAATATAATAAAATGTAAAATAAAATATAGTTTTAATTCAGTATATCTAATTTTTATTTCCCTAATTAATCACCCACATTATGTTAGTAAGCCATCAAATGCATCAAATCGAAGGCTTTATTTACCTTAGTAAGAATTATGCGATTTATGTCCAATCGGCACCCTTTGGCTCGATAACTTTATGTCATTTTGAAGATATTGTCATTATGCCTCTCTAATAAGAGTATTTGCCCCTATTGGCAAAGAATTGAGACAATCGATTTTCATGTGCTTCTTCTCAGCTCAAATCTTCTCCTTCCAATACATTCGTCATAGACAAAAACAGATAGTAATCACTTGGTGCGCGGTCCAGACCATGAGGTGGATGCATCGAAAACTCCCAAGCCATTTCTCGGAGTTTCAGCAGAGTATGGCTTGGCGTTTTAATAATAAAACCTAATTATCCTCTTAATGGTCAAAGCTCGGCGCTACTCGTGCTCAGTGCTTTTTGACCACACCTCTTTTCATCAGTAACCACTTCAGAAATGTCGCGATTTTCTTACGATTCGACAACGATTCGCAGATTTCAGATTACTTTTTACTAGGCCTGTATTTGACCTCGCCCTCAACACATTACTTCTAAGCTGCATAAATATTGACATATATTACATACATTCTTACACTTTTTCATAGCAAAAAAAAAAGAAAACAAACAAAAAAAATCAGCAAGTAATGTTCTAAAAACTTCCAAATATAACTACAAATTTTTGAACACTAGAAAACATAATACAGTGTCGTCCTACTTACACTCATACACTCGCATGTAAAAAACATGTAAATGTAGCTATTCACTGCCTGAGTAACTGTTTACTCATGTACTCGTATGCACAAGTAGTTGCATAATACTCAACGATTGTACAAATTCATAAAAACTTTGTCATGTCTATTACAGACTTTCATATTTCTTTTATTTCTCTTTTTCGACTGTCAAGAAGTTTTTTAATTTTATCACGCCAAAAACAGCTAAATAAACTATTCTTTATTTTACATATCTAGACACATTAGAGAAATTGCCTACAAGTATACATACGTGTTTACATATGTACAATATTTGTTTGGAAAAAAATGGATTGTTACTCGTGTTTTGGCATTCACGTTCATCAGAATGAGGTTAATATTGATTTTTTTTAAATAGTATTACGCAAATTGATGCAGAAGGAGTGGAAATAGAAAATTTACTAAAAATATAGACTATTATTTTATTTAACTTAATTTTTTTTTATTTCTTTTTTTTATTTTGTTTTATTTTATTTTATTTTATTTTATTTTATTTTACTTTATTTTATTTATTTTATTTTACTTTATTTTATTTATTTTATTTCAATTTTTTGTTTATTTTATTTTGTATTGTGCCAGAGCCCAAGCTGGAGAATTTATTGGCGCCGTCAGCAAAGAATGAATAATTTATAAGATAAACCGCATACCAAACTTGTTCTTAAAACAATTTTTAATTAAAATACACAAAATGTGAAAATGTCTATACAACAAGAAAATCTAATAGATACAGAAAAAATGCTATTGAATTTTATATGAAAACTTCATACAATTTGCACATGCGGGCAGCTTAACACTACAAATAAAACCAAAAAATATAAGTGAGGGTGAAATTGGAGTATAAATTTTTTATTGTCATATACTGTAAACACGAAACTATCAAAAGATTAGTCATATGCCAACAACATTCTTACGTCGCAGACATACACGTATGCACAGTACAAACTTAACAATGGAAAGAGAGACAAAAACAATTGGTATTACGTGACAACTTAACACCACACACCGCCCAACTATACTCAAAATATTTTCAACAAAGCGGGTTGATTAACCCCAAAGACCACACTAACGTATTTAGTGCTAGGAGTTGGGTGCCTCGGCAGATGGATGGCGCTTATAGTATACAAACATAAAAGTATATTTGTTATTTAGAAGCAAACATTAACCATTTCATCCACCGAACAAATTTTTATTCGATCGATCATATGCGTACGTTCGTGTTAGTTTGCGTGGGTCTAATATATGTATGTGTGTACAGCTGATTTGTATTTTTTGATAAACAAAATGTTTTATTTTATTTGACATTTATTTCCCTTTTTAAATTTTTTCATTTTATTTTATTTTATTTTATTTTATTTTATTTTATTTTATTTTATTTTATTTTATTTTATTTTATTTTATTTTATTTTATTTCATTTTTTTTAATTTCATTTTATTTGAATTCATTTGAGAGTGAGTAAATTAATTTTGATAGTTATTTCTCGGAGTGCATTAACTCCAATTATTGTTCGTTCACTGGAGCTCCCCGCCATGTGATTTGATATTATCATTGTGGCGCCTCAATCATCGTGTGAATTAAGCAATAGAAAATAGTCATTATTCACACGCAATATTGCATTCAATTGCAATTCAAAATACTAATTGCTTTTGTGTGTATTGTAAAATTATTAGTAAATGCAATTTGATTCTTCCGAAAAGAGTTATTTACGAGTTGTTTACGTTTATATTAGAGCATGACTATTGGAATTTTTTTTAAATTAAAAGGTCGACAAATACCCACATTAGTTAAAAGCAATTAATATATTTGAAAAATATATTATATTAACTTTGTTATTTTATTTTTGTGATTTCTTATTCATCTATATATATCAATATAAAAAAATGTTTCCCCTATACTTCATATGTATGTACTATTAAGTGAGCGTAAAATAATTATTTTGACAGTTATCAGTCAAAATAAATTAAACGGTTTGACAGTTTGATGAATAATATTGGAAAAATGATGACTGACAGCTGGGAAAGTTAAGCACCGCTATTTATATACATACATATGTATATATTTTATTCCATATAAATTTATATATACTTTTACGATTATACATACTGATACATATTGCTTATACATATATGGTACGTGCTGCTGCCATATTAACATGCAAATGGAATATGTGAAAGAATTAACCTTAATGATAAAATAATTAAAAGAGTACAAATAGAAATAAGAGTAAATTATAGTAAAAATATTTTTTATTATTAATTATAATAAGTAAATATTTTTTCGAATGAATGGCGCGATGTTATAAATTCGGCTAAAATCGCGAAAGCTGTGTCTACGCCAGTTTAATAAAAGTAAATATTTTTTTAATTATACCATAATAAATATGGGTACATTTACATATACATTTAAGGCATTTCTTTCCAAGTACAAGTCGTGTTGTGATGCGAAATGTCAACTGTGCAACCTAGCACCAGGTTCATACTATTTAAATACTAGTTTATTTGAACTTTCTTGTAGCTAATGCATAGAGATAACCACTAACCACTCGCCTTTAGTGATTAAACAAGTAAAAAGTTAATAGCAAAAAGCAGTTTAGCCTGACAGGAGTGAATTTGCCTATGTTGTAGAGTGGGTAGGAGAAAAGGTAGACCAGAGACACACAGTTATTAGCTATCTATATGTGCAAATCCAAGTTAGATAAGCGAGTAACAAATGACGTTTTATCAGACATCATTAGATACCACAAGCCCTTTCCAACTGCCAGATCACTGCAGCTTTTTTTGAGCAGGCATTACTGCTAATAAAAAGAGCTTTCCGAGAGAGAGAGTGCTTACAGCAAGCAATATATACATATGCGTAGAAAGCCCAGCGGCTTTCCAAACGTTAAAGTCCCTTGGGATCTCAACAAAGATTGTGAAATATTGCCATGATTCGTTGGAAGAACTAACTTCACAGTAATATGGTAGGTAACAATGAACCGTGAAGAAATACAAATTAAAGTTAAGTCTAAATGAAGGAGATAACGTAGGAACTCCATCAGGGATGCTAACAGCTGCTATTGGAATTGCCTGTAGATTAGGGCTGTCATAGAACGATTACAACAGAAGCAAGCAGGAAGTAGAAGTAGAAGCGATTATAGATCATATTCGTTGTGGCTGCAAGGCTTTGTATAGAAAAAAGTTTGCAACTGTCCGCCTTGGTTTTCTGGAGGACATTTCGGAAGTTTATCAAGATCTAAGGCTGATTCAGTTACGTTGGTCTGTTAGATGTCTGGTCAAAGATTTCCTTTATCTATTCATCTACTTGATTAGAATTGGCTATCACGAATTAAACAAATTCTATGATAGATACCTAACCAGTTTACTTAGAACCTAAATTATTATATGTATGATTAAAGACTTAAGTATACCTCGCCAATAGTTCTCCCGCTTTCATAACAATATAATACATATATCTCGTATTTCTTCTGTACTCACCCCAACTGCCTCCTGTTCGGCCAAGGCATTGGCTAGTTTCACTGTTCCATAAGAATTTTTTGAAACCCTCCCATTTGCCCATCTTTGGCGGTGGCGAATAGTATTGTTCTGCAATCTTCTTGTCGGCCATTTTTGCTGTTGTGCTTTTACGATGAGCTTTTGTGTAGTAAAGTTCGTACGGTACGGCTTTTGAGTTTTTAGATTTCTTTGTATTTACGGGTTTAACTGTTCAATGGTATTTCACTTTTGTGTGATTTTCCAACTTCTGTTGTATTTATTGGTCGTTCGATGACTGATCTGGCGTAGCAGTTGAGAGGGTTTCTTTATACAATACTTTAGATACTTATTTTTGTATAATGTCAATTTTTAATGTTTTTCACTTTAGTTTAATTAAATTTCTAATATTATTATTGTTATTATTTATAGTACATAAACTATATCATTGAATTATTTTTTTTAGTAGTCTATTTATTTGTTGTTTAACTTTTTGCTTAGTAATCGCCTTTTTTCGTATAACAACACGGTTTTTTGTATTTTCTCTCTTATTTTACTTTAGTTTGAACTTTTTTTTTACAATTCAAGGAATTAATTTACTGTATTTTGGGGTTTTCTTTTATTATTTTCTTTTATGAAATATATTTACATATACATTTTAATCAACTGTGTCGAAACATTTTTACTAGTTTTTTTCTTGTTTTCTATTTTTTCCACTGGAATGTTCGTCGTAGAATTTTGTTACAATTCTGCTTTATATTTATATATATGTATGTATTTACGGTTTTATACTGCGAGTTGGCTATTGTAATTCCTTAATTTTGAATATCAATGATGTTGCCACCTAAAGGAAAGAAATAGATAAAAAAAATGTATTATATGTAACATGGCTAAGTGAAGTCGTATAAATATTCCAACTCTCAGCTGGACTTAAAATTATTTTCTCTATAATATTTCCAACAATAAAATCACAAAGCTTTAAGACAAAATGCAAAAGCTCTAAACTGAGGACTGGGTACCATGTTTCAATAAAGTTCGAAAACCTAATGAATATATCATCGCTCCATATAAAACGACATTGAATGAAAAATTTTCGGCTTTCATACATTATGAAGCTTTCATAGATAAATTTGTTGGCATTGAACCAAAAATTATTGAGCTCTCAATATAAAATGGTATTGAATCTTGAATCTTCCATACATTATAAAGCTTTCATTGCTAAATACAATTTCATTCAGTCAAAAATCATCGAGCTTTCATACGTATATTACGAAGCTTTTATGCTTCGCCAAAATGTATTAACTTATCGAAACTTTCATACATTATACGGCTTTCATGGGGAAAAAGCATTCACAAACTCTTTGAAACTTAATCGTCGCCAAAACTTATCGAACGTTCATACCTGACTGAACTTTCATTGAAAAAAAATTTCAAGCCGAGCTTTCATACATTAATTAACGAAGCTTTCATACAGTAAAAAGGTTGTATAAATAAATATATAAAAGCTTTCACAAGCTCCGCGAAACTCAAATGTCTCCAAAATTGATCGAACTTCCATAGTTTACCAAATAAAGTTGTCATACACTATACAGCTTTCATGGAAAAAGCTTTCACAAAATCTACATTTAAGCGTCGCCAAAAATTTTCGGGCTTCCATATTTTAATAAATGACGCTTTTATATATATGAAAAACTTTCATACAACACGAAACTTACACACACTCTCCGAAATTTTGTACATCATACAGAATAGCTAAAGCTCAAGGAAAAATTATGAAAACTAAATTTACAAAACCATAGTAGTGAAAAACTTCAAGTCGAGAAAAATCAATCGCAAGTTTTCAAAGCTTCCAAGCAGATGCACTTACAATGCCTCAGCAAAAATCGCAAATATTTAAGCCGCAATGAAACATACAGAGGGGACAGTAAGTTTTAAAAGAATTTTGAAAATTAAAGCCTCCACTCCGGTAGATGTGGTAGGACCTAACTTCATTTGGTGTCTCTAATAGACGAAAAGCCCAATTAAGACCAAGAATTCTTGCCTTGGTAGAGGGTAGTTTGACAAATCGAATTAAGACAGAGAAATTAGCTCGAAAATTATTTGACAGAAATGTATTCACGATAAGTAAAATGGAAATAAGCCATAATTATTCTTCGCATTTTTCTCTGTGGAGTAACCTCATCCCTTTGATTTCGATAAAATATTTTACAATATGACCTATGTATTTACTAATCAATTTAATTTAATAGCTTTCCTCAAATACTCGTCCACTCCCGACCTGATTACTCAATTCAATTTCTATGCCAACCAACTTATGTAAATCAACAAAAAAAAAAAAACTATTATGTACGACTACTCTCGCATGATTTGTACTTGGCATTGGCATGTGGTGGACACTGGTTGGGTGAAAATGCCGCCAGGACCAATATTTGAGCACTCATACATATCGAATCTCTAAAATTTCGGTTCAACATTTCAATTGCCGCTGCACAGGACCACCATATGTATGCCACATTCACGCTTCAACTCATTGCTGCAGCACTAAGCTTCACAAGGACACCTCAAACTTTTTCTTTAGAAAATTTTAAATTTTTCATACTCTTGCGAAACTGGCGGATTTTCCACCGAAAGTTCAACACATTTCTTTCTTTCTTTTCTCAATTTTTTTTTTTGCAAATTTTCACAATTTATAGAATTTTTTCTTGAAATAAAATTTTCCAATAAACTAAACCGCTGCTATGCCGTTACTTTGCTGCTCTCAACTGACTGACAGAGTTTATTCCTGCCACTACTGCTGCTGCTGCTGCTGCCACTGCTGCTGCTGCTACTGAAGAGTCGCACACAGAAAACGCGATTATGTAACAGCACACACTGTGTAAGAGTTTGCAAAGGAAAATGTCGAAAAATTTTCTTATACAACGAAAGCAATAAACGAGGTATGCAATGAAAGAGCGCGCTGGTCACGAGTTGCGAGTTGCGAGTCGCGAGTCACGAGTCACGAATCCTGTATACGAACGTTGTAGCGAGTAAAGCGTAAAAAGTAGAAAAAACAATGTGTGTGCTGCTCGTTTCTCTTGTAGCGACAACACAATTGAAAAAGTAAATGGAAAATTGGAAAAGTACTAAAAAAGAGAGAAAGAGAGCGGATGGTTAAAATTAGCATAAATAAGGCTGTAGACTCTCCTTGTATGTGCGTGTATGTACTAAAATGATGTATGAAATTTGGTGAACATAAATCTCAAAGGAATTAATGAAGAAGGAATACGAAGGAATTGAGTCGGTAAGATGGAATTGATTAAAAAAATGAAACATAAAGTTCGGAAATTAGCATAAAAGGGTGGTTTAAAATTTTAACAGAATGCAGTCTCTAAATCCCCCAAGCATCAAAAAAACCAAAATTATTATTAAATATGATATATATTTTTTATTTAAAAAAATTATTTTACAGTTGTAAATAAGAGAGAAATTAGTTTTATTTGAAGCGTATAGAACAATACGATTGGTGCGTCGTAACCTTCGTTCTTTCGATTAATAAGACTGATTTGTATATAATTTCTGAAATTGAAAATTTTGCCCTCTATAAGGAATGTACAGAGAATCAACAATAGTTTGCTATGGAGAGAGTGTTATGTTGAAACTGATTAAAAATGATTTAGAGAGAGCTTTAACCAAAGTTACAGTGTTGTATTTTGTCCTTAGTCAAGCTTAAGTGTCAAACCAAACATGTTTTGTTTTAACAAAAAGTCAGGCATTTCGTATCTTACAATATAATGGGCCAACTACGCAAGCAATTGGTTCAGCTTTAAAGAAATTCGAAGAAAATGGATCAGTTACAGATATTGTAAGGCCTATGTATCATCATTTTGATAGTTCCACCCCAAATAACGCTAGTGGAAGTGAAATTTCAGTCGATGACTCGACGTTCTCAAGAGCAGGGACTTTCTTTCGGCACGTTGTGGTGTATTTTGCCGATAGACTTATACGTACATCCATATAAAGTCCAACTCACACAGCAACTGAAGCCAGCAGACCATGCACAACACCGTACACGATGTCGATGGGGTACCTGAACAACAAGCAGTGGACGAACAAAAATTTCTACAGCGACGAGACTCAGTTCTCACGTGAAGGATATGTAAATAAGAAAAAATTAGCGCATTTGAAGGTCCGAGAATCCTCAAATAATTGAAGAGAGATCATTACACCCAAAAAAAATGTACTTATTTACTCTGCTGCGCTGTTTGGTCAGGACGTGTAATTGGACATTATTACTTTGAAAAAAGGACAACTGTGAGACTGTCGCTGTCGTTTGAATATCCAACTGCAATTTAATTATCGCAGAAATAAAAGTTAAAGCGAATTAAGTAAGTATCGTGCAGCTGAAGCATTTATTCCTGTAAACTCATTGTGAAATTTCCTTTCCACAGACGCGAACCATTTAGTATGCCTTATAAATGTTTTGATATTGTCTATGCTAACTGCAGTTACCACAGCGAGTTTTGGGTTTGAGGTTAGAGCTGGACAGTGACAAAATGTGGTGTTCAACAGACTCTTACGCAGCTTAAAACAGTGCTAATATAACAATTGTTATACTGTTGGAAGATCGATCTAGAATAATTCGATTCCTTAACCTTTTGGCGTACAACACAGTTAATAGCTGCCTAGTCACGTTGCATGTTGTCAGCAAAGTAATGAAATGTGAATCACATCCATAGCAGTCTAACTACTAAAATCGAATCGCAAACGTGATTACGTGAAAAACAAGAACAGACTGAAGTGCAATAGCACATAGTATGATTTCCGCTTCAAAAAAAAAAATATTATATAATTAATTTAGCACGGTATTATATGGAGATACCCCAACACATATCGGCTGAATGTTAAACTTTATTAGACATAACTCCTACACTACAAGTTCTCCATGAAATTAAACTTTACCTAATGAAGAGAGATATTCTCAACGGTATTGAGGATTGACCTTAATAAGAAAAAAAGAATTTATATTCCTTATTTTTGGGATTTAATTCAACGTCTCCTGAACATCAATGTTGCTCCGCAGTTGCAGCTTTAAATTAAGAAAATATAAAAATAAATATATCTCAAAATTTCATTGTTCTTTAGTTCGATTAGAGAGCTGAGTTGGTATGATTGCTAGCTCACTGCTGTTTGACTCTTCGAATATATTTACCCATACTCTTTTTCGCGAAGTCTTGGTACTCAAATTATTAAAGATGTTTTATGAATCGATGTCAAACTGTGCCACGGGATAGACAGTGAGCGAAGTAGAGCTCTACAGACTACTCTGGCTCTATGTCACAGCATTGGAGTGATAACTTAACCTTTTAACATGAGCTTATGTTATTTAGTGACTTTTGAATAGAGTAAAGAGATTTTTTGGGAGTTATGCTCAATATTCGTGCCTCAAAATTATTGATTACGAAAATAAATCAATTTAACTGATATTAAAAGAGTAATATTTAATTTCCATAATAATATCAAGGCCATCTGTACGGCATTTTTCAACTCCCTTTGGATACTTTTTTCGCGGAGTCTATAAACTATTTCAGATATCCAGCTATTAATATAAGAAAATGGAAGCTTGATTGGATTATTTCAAAAATAAATATTATTATATATTTAACCAGCTAAGAGAAGTGCTCAGTTATTTATATTGGCTACAGAAAGATGTAGTAAATTATTAGTAAAAATGTGGCATCATTTTAGGGAAAGTGATAGCGAAACCTATATATCGAAACCGGATATTTCACATTTCAATATTTGAGTGTGTATACAAACATATTTCATCGTTTCTGTCATAAAAGAAAGAACAATGTAGTTTCACTCAACATTTTTTTTTTTTCAAAAATATTAGCCATATTGACATACAAAGATCTTCAGGCATTTGCCTTATTTTTGTGCTGCCAATTTCATTAAAAAAAAAATAAATTTTTAAAATCACTAGAATGACATGAAATCGTTAACATGGGCTTGACAGAACAGAACATTATACCAAAAAAATGTATAAAATTGAATTTGAGAAATTGGTACACAGAAGACGTGAGGGAGTTCGAGCTAATATTTCCCAATGCAAGGAGAAAAACTACAAAAATTTCCAAAATTACATTATTGTCAAAAATACAATTTCTTAAGGTAAAATATTAAATTTTACTAGCTTTTCAAAAAATCGGACTGCTTTAAGCACAGTAAGGTTCCGATAACTAGGAGGAATAGATAGTGAGCTTAGTGATGATGTAGATTGCATACCGCTAATCTAACCTAACCTTAGTTTTTTGGATTCGCCTTCTTATTTCTTTTTGGTCACCTTATTGTACTTGAGTTCGGCGCCGCAAAGTCCAATAAAGTTCTAATATATTCAATATTGGGGTTAGAATTATACCGTACTTACTTCTACCAACGGAAGAAACAAGAAAAGCCTTTTAACTCATGTTCCTAGAGGGATACTTGCTTTACTGAGGTTCTTAAGATTATAAGTCAATCTTCAGGATAGGTGAGTAAGTTCACATTACATAAAAAATATGTTTTTCTTTCAATTTCCTAAATTCATTTTTCAGTATTTCATTGAAAAAACTACTATTTTTATACAACAACCCCCACTTGATATACAATAATTTGGGTCAAATACCATTAGATTGGGTAAATAGCCGATTTGTGTTTTATTATATTTGAACATATGTATGTGTGTGCTGCTACCTTCACTGCTTGCATTAATACCATGACTACTGGGTCACGCCGTAAAGTTGCTTCACCTCACATGCAAACATGCAAACTAAGCAAAAACTTAAGAGTAAAGCTAAAGCTAAACAATAGGTAAATGAAAGGGAAAGCAACAAAACTAACTACACTAATCGAATGCAGACAATAATGTGTCAAGGAAATAAATAAATGTGTAAGATTACAAGAAAATTAAAAAAAAAAAGTAAAAAAGTAAAAAAAGTAAAAGAAAAAAGTTGAAAAAGTGAAAGAAAAATCGATCATCGAGGGAGAGGAAAAAAAAATTAATAAATGTTTAAGATTACAAGAAGTTTAAAAAAAAAAATAAAGAGCAAAAGCATTTAAAGAATGAAATGAAAATGAAAGTTGACTTTTGACTGCTATCAATCATTTTTTTCTTCGAGGAAGAGCAAAAAACTAAATAAATAAATGTGTGAGACTACAAATAAAAAAAATTAATTAAGAAGATTAAAAGAAAAATTTAAAAAGTGAAAAAATTAAAAAAAAAATTGAAGAAAAAAGTGAAAATAAAATTTGACTTTTTACTGCTTTTATCCATTTTTTTCTTTGAGGAAGAAAAAAAACTACATTAATAAATGTGTGAGATTACAAATTAAAAAAAAAATTAATTAAAAACAGTAAAATAGTAATTTAAAATTGAAAAAAGTAAAAAAAAAAATTAAAAGGGAAAATGAAAGTTGACTTTCGACTGCTTTTATTCATTTTTTCTTCGAGAAAGAGAAAAAAACTAAATAACTAAATGTGTGAGACTACAAATAAAGAAAAATTAATTAAGAAGATTAAAAAAATAATTTAAAAAGTGAAAAAAGTAAAAAAAAAGATTAAAGAAAAAAGTGAAAATGAAAGTTGACTTTCGACCGCTATCAATCATTTTTTTCTTCGAGGAAGAGGAAAAAACTAAATAAATGTGTGAGCTTACAACTTAAAAAAAATAATTAAGAAGATTAAAAAAATTATTTAAAAGGTAAAAAAAATAAAAATAAAAAAAATTAAAGAAAAAAGTGAAAATAAAAGTTGACTTTTGAATGCTATCAATCACATTTTTCTTCGAGGAAGAGGAAAGACCGAACAAATTTAAAAAAAAATTAATTAAGAAGACTAAAAAAATAATTTAAAAATTGAAAAAAGTAAAGAAAAGGTAAAGAAAAAAGTGAAAATAAAACTTGACATTGTACTGCCCTTAATAAATAAATGTGTGAGATTACAAATTAAAAAAAATTAATAAGGGAGATTAAAAAAATAATTTAGAAAGTGAGAAAAGTAAAAAACAAAAAAATTAAAGAAAAAAGTGAATATGAAAGTTGACTTTTTACTGCTTTTATTCCTTTTTTTCTTCGAGAAAGAGGAAAAAACTAAGTAAATAGCAAAAAATATCAAAAAAAATAATGAAAGATTAATAAAAAATGGAAAAAATATAATAAAAAAATAACAAAAAATTAATAAAATATAAATAATAATGACAGCGAAAATAAATTGAAAAAAATTAAAAAAAAAAATTAAAAAAAAAATTTTTTTAAAAATTAAAGGATAAATAAGAATTAAGAAATGAGAAATGAGAACTGAGAATAATTACTTTAAATGTTATACCATAGACCCACAAGCGATTGCGCAAGTATGCAGCAAAACTTTTCGAAAGAAATTTGAATTATGTATTTCCAATATAAATGTGATGGCGGCAACAAAGCGCTGTAGGCAAGCAACGAAACGAACCAGCGAGCGTAATCTAAAAAGAAAGAGGCGCGGCGTAGCAGACAACGAGAACGAAGAGAAGGATATAAAGCACAGTTACATATATGTATGATACATACATACATACATAAAAATATATACATATATATCTGAGCAAACGAACTGGCAAGCCGACAACCGACCGTTGCGTACAAGGACGAGCGTACAGCACAGGCACAAGAATGAGCGAAAATTCACCGAGTAACACCGGGACGACAGACAACCGACTAACCGAAAAATTTGCTTAAATGTATTAAATGGATTTCGGAATCAACGAAACGCAAGCAGCACTAAAATTGAGCATTGAAGCGAACATTAGGCTGAAAAGAGGCAGGACTACTAAAGCAGACCAGCCGTTGTACTAAGAAACGCATGGACCTTCGTTGACCAACACACACACACACAAACACACACATACACACACATAAGCAGTAGAAATACGCACACACAAATACACTTTTTTCTTTAAACAAGTGCACGTATACGCCGTGGAGCACTTCGTTGTATGTATGTATGTATGTAGACAGTGAAACAACAAGAACAACAGAAATATGAAATGCGTGTCACTAAAGCACTGGCGCACACAAACAATGATTATGTATTATCCTTGCTCGGTTCGACAATTGTGGCACTCGAGTGTACCGTTACACTACTTTGCGTATACGTTAGGATGTGCTCGGCTCTTATGGTTCTCTCCCGCACACATACGCTCTCTCGCCCTTTCGCTGCATATTGGTGATAGGATAATCGGCGCCTAGATTTTCATTGAAACTTAGAAAATTAGCAGATTTTTATTTTTGAATTTTTTTATTTTAGAAAATTTGTAGAAAGTTGAAATTTTTATTTTTGAAAAATCTTATTAAATGAAAAAAAAATGTATCGAAAACTTTTTCAAATATGTCACTTTGCCACTTGCTCGTTGCGTGCGCTCTCTTTTCGCTGCCAAATTGTGTGATATAACACATATACTTTTTTCTTGGCTGTCCTTGAAAGTCCTTTTTTAGTTTCTATGCCTGTTATATAGTTTACGCGAATTTTCAGTTTTTTGATTTTTTATTGAAAAATAGCTTTGAAGCGCTTTTCGTTTAATTTTTTTTTTGAAATTACACAATTTTGAATACATTTAGTTCCTCTTTCAGAGCCTTCAAGCGCACATACTTCAGTAGGAAAATAGCACACAAACACGCACACACATAAATTGTAGTAAGAAAATTTTTTTACACACGAAAAATATATTTTCCACAAGTTTTTGTTAAAAAAACATGTCATAAAAAATCAGGCTTTCGCCTTGAACGACAAATTTGTTTGAAAAAAGTCCGTTTTCATTGAAAATCCTTCAAAGTCTTTCCACTTTCAACATTCGATTTTTCTCCAGGCTTTATGTAATTTTCACGATATAGCGCCGTATTACACAAGTGCGAAAGAGAAAAAGCGAGCGTGCGAAAGCGAGAGCGCAAACAATTTTCAGCAGTTCCACTTTCAATTCTTCAAATTTCCTTTAAACAAATGCACTTTTTCAATTAAAAAAAAAATTTTTTCTTTCACTCCCGCTGCAAACACTTTTTTTTATGTATAATCAATATTTTTTAAAGCCTTTTTGGCAAAAAAAAAAAAAACAAAAAAATTTGCCTACACTGCTTTTTGTTGTACAATGTACATATATTCAATCCGTACTAAGCGACGAGTCGAGGAGCTACCGTTCACAGTTAAAACGCCAATGATAGTGTCTTCGCTGCAACTGACCGAAACGACTTATCATCTGAGTGCTCTAAGCTATGCCAAACGCCAGCGAGTAGTCAATTTTATCGCTGCGCTGTACGTTGCGCCGTCCGACTGGAAGTAATCGCTAGAAATGTGCTAAAAGCTCGCAGCGGTGAGTGAGTAATGTAATAGATTATGCTTTTCCAAAGAAATAAAAAAAAAACGCTCAACTTGAGCTTTCAATTAGAGCAGCCTGTGGTGGAAATAGCGAAATGTATGTACCAATTTACTAGTGTGTATGCATGAGCTAGCCGAAGGGTTTTTACATTTTTCGCTGGTTTGGCTCGTTGTTAGTGTAATTTATAAAGCACACAGTTGACAAGCTCTATACAAAAGCGCAAAAACGATCTTAAAATAAAAGCTTCCTTTACGAATATAAAGCGGAGACCGATAATATTTCACCCTAGGAAATTGTATACAATTTGACCAGACAGATCCATGATAGCAGAGAAGGAAACTAAGCATCAGCACCGGCGAAATGGACGGTACATATCTAACAGCTGCAGTGAGATGACTGAGAAGGATTGGTTGAAGTACAACCACTGGCATCATTGCGGCTCGACATTGCTTCCTAGGAAAGGCCTTGGAATAAAAATTTAAAAATTGCAAACTTCAATGCGAGAATACCAATCGGTATGAAAAACATTGCAATAAACTCGAGCTTGGTCTCGAAAAAAGCCGCGCCAGCCAACTTTTACATCAAGCTTTAACTCAAGCTTCGACTCGTAGTAGCTTAGCGCTTCACTTCCGCAATGGATACGTCCACTCCGGTAATCAGTGGAGCAATAGGGGGAGCAAGATCCATTGTGTTGAATAAAAAAACCTTTACCGGCATTTTAGAACATTTTAAAAACTAATCTATTACATATTTTTATTCACCATACCTATAGCTAAGGAATAACCCTACGTCAGAGAAGAGAAAACAGCGAGCTTTCCAAAAATCAGGCAAAAATTCCAAATATGCAATACATAACCAAACAGTTTGCCAATTGGAAGCAACAACGGTATTGGAAATAACTTTTTTTGCAGTGGCTTGGTAGGTGCAGCCCCCAAACCAACAATAAAAGACAATGGTTGATACCAACGAATTCCCATAGATTTTCTTAGCTGCCGTAAATAGAACGCAGGCGCGGCGAAAATATGTGCTAATACACAAGAACCAACCTGCTGTGACACACGAACCAATGCAACATACCCCAAGCTAGTACGGGTAAAAGAGAATATGATAAAACTAAGGGGAAACTACTAAAAATATAGGAAAATTTGAAAATACCATATGAATGCTTTTTATTGATTGATTTCCATATATGGAAAGAGAATTACAGACGACGGCGATGCAAACGAATGAAAACGGCTGACGGAGAGCGTGAGAGAAATTAAACATTTAATTAGAGTATTAGAGAGAGAGAGAGTGTGAGAGAGAGAGAGAGTGAGCGCATTTGTATGAGTTTTTACGATTTCTGTTGTATAACTATAGGCGCATATACCTAATATGTATAAGTTTGTGCTACTTTGCAGCTCATGTAGCTGTGTGCTCAGGTGTTGCCTATGTATTGGTGCATTAATGCAATATAACTTTTAAAATGCTGTTAAGTATTTAATATAAAAAAATTCATTATATTTCTAAGTGGGTTAAATGCGTATCTGTGCAAGAGGCAATTGAGTGTGAACAAGAAGAGAGAGAGAGTAAGTGAGTGAGTGAGTGAGAGAGAAAGAGAGAGAGCATGATGAAGCAAATTGTATGTAATAAATGAAAATAGAAGCGATGGAGCAGCAATTCAATATTTCACAAATGATAAATGGAGTAGGGAATATAAAGCACTTAAGTATTTACGTATATACACATGTGTTGAGTGGTATTCTGCCTGCCTTCAATAATGTCAGTTGTAATTATGCAATTGAATGGCAAATGCAGCAGGGATAAAAGATTTCACGCGTAGGATATCTCTGCCTTTTAGGTTGATAAACACTTATGTGGCTCTAAAAAATACATATATAGAACTAACAGACCCAGCAGATGATGTTTCAATTAAACTTAATTAATTTACAGTTAAAAAGCATATTTCTTTACAATTATATCTTTCAAGGCTGGAAAAAATCTTTGCATTATTACGTTTGCAGTAAATACACGTATGTACATATGTAAAGGTTATATTATGTATACATGTATACATATATTTAGCTAAATACTCTGCACTTTTTATATATAATATATAATTCAGCGTTCCTCCTGTGCTGTAAGTGCTGTTAAATACCTGCCTTGCATAAGCATTTTTAAATTAGTTGGCAACTCTTCTTGAGAAATAATTCCAAGATTAAAGCATTTAAATTTTTTACTGTGAATTCTGCAATGTAAAAAAAAATTATTTAACTTAATAATTTTTTTTAATTTAACATTTTGAATAGGTGGCAGTCCTGTTTACATTTTTTCCAATTCAGAATATTTTTTAATGTTAAACTATTCTAAATTTATTAGTTTTTTTTTTGTTATTTTCTAATCTTTTTTTAAGAATTTAAAAATATGTGGCAACCCTTCTTAAAAATATATTATATTTTAAGCAGCTTTCTTAGCCCTTTTTGCTTTAGCTATTTTAAAATATCCAGCTTTTTTATTTTTCTTTTAGTTAAATATTGTTTCTTATAAGCGGCAACCCTCTTTAAAAATATATTTAAATACAAAACCATTCTTACTCTCAACTTTTTTCTTTAAAAATCATTTTCAAAATTTAACCTTTTCCTAAATTTCTTTTTTTTTGCTTTTACTATGTAAAAAAATAAACTTATTATTCTAAACATTTTTTAATTACATATTTTGAATAGATTGCAATGTCTTTAGGAAATATTTTCCATTGCAAGCTTACTAAATGCTTTTTACTTTTATTATTTTGAAGTATTCAACTTTTTTGGTTTGTTTTTAATTACATTTTTAATTAGTTGGCAACCCTGTTTTATATCTTTCCTAATTTTCTTTATTTGTAATTCAACCCTTTTAAGGAAAATTTTCAAAGTTGAACTATTAGAAATTTTTGATTTTATTTTGACTTAAATTTTGACTAAAATTTTTTTCTAAAATAAAAGTGGCAACCTTTCTTTAAATAAAGGTGGTAGTTTGAGTCTTCTTGAAGCTTTTTAGTTTGATTTGTATTTTGGAATATTCTACCTTTTAAGTTTTTTAATAAATTTTTAAGAAGCTTTTGTAATTGGTGGCAACCCTTTTTAGATATATATTTAATTTAAAGTTCTGCTTAGCACTTTTCTCATTTTTACCAATATTGTTATATATTGTTTATTCTCTTAAATTATTGCATCAACAAGTGAAGCAGGTGGCAACTCTCTTTGAAGTATATTGTCTTTAATTTTCTTTATTTTTATTTCAACCCTTTTGAGGAAAATTTTCAACGTTGAGCTATTTGAAATTTTTGATTTTATTTTGACTTAAATTTTTTCTAAAATAAAAGTGGTAACCTTTTTTTAAATAACGGTACTAGTTTGAGCCTTCTTGAATCTTTTTAGTTTGATTTGTATTTTGGAATATTCTACCTTTTAAGTTTTTTAATAAATTTTTAAGAAGCTTTTGTAATTGGTGGCAACCCTTTTTAGATATATATTTAATTTCAAGTTTTTCTTAGCACTTTTCTCATTTTTACCAATATTCTTATATATTGTTTTTTCTCTTAAATTATTGAATCAACAAGTGAAGCAGGTGGCAACTCTCTTTGAAGAATATTGTCCTCTCTAAATGCTATTAAATTTGATATTTCAGTTGTCTTAAACTGATTTTGATGTTTTATAGATCTTTACGAAAATCTCTTTGACGTTAACCTTTTCTTCCGTGTAAAAATGAAATAAAAATATTTCGACCTGGTGCACTACCTATAACAGATAAAAAGCTCGAGCTGTCCCGTGTTGCCTAATTGCAATGCATTAAATTTTAAGTATTTAGTTTGGATCCCAACATTAATCCATACATTGAGTCCCCACACGCTACTAATCTCTTTACAACACTCCCCAACTCATTTAACTGTACTTTCTCTTTGGTCCGAAAGGCCAAACAGCTCGCTTCCTGATAATCAGACATTTACCTTCTCAATATGCTACAAATCTTTCATACTTCTCCTCTACAATCATCTACATATTGCCTATGACCTTTTAAAATTCCTAAATTTTCTTGAACTATTTACCCTCTTTTTTATGCCTCCCATATTTAACCTAAGAAAACAGCAACAATTAAGTATACGAGTATAAATACATATACATATGTACCTACATACATACAATGTTAATGTTAAACTTTACATGTTGACCAAAAGCGTTCAGAGGCCATAAGCTAAGCTAAAGTCCCCTACAAGAGTTACGTCATTCCTCAGCTGTTGTTATCTAACCGAAATGGAGCAGCGACAACAAAAGCAAATACATACCTACATGAGTCGAAGCGAAGCGCATGCTTTTGCCGAGTGCTAGTTCGAGTAAAAACTTCCAATAATAAAAACAACCACAAAAAAAAGAAATGCTCTACCATAAAATAGGCAATGAAATTATATGTGACTTTCAAATGCAACCCTGTAACGTTTGGTGAATTCAACTATTGGTAGAGTTGGACACAAAGTTATACAATAAGTAGAAAGCTATAAAAGTCTATGTGTAACCAATATAGACAATTGGAGCGCCTTGGCGCCATAATAAAAATTGGCACCCACAACTGCGACTGCACACTACCGTAACGCTTGCAGTGAGCTCTCAAGGTTTTCTATTTATTTTTATTGTATTGTATTTTCGATATTGTACTCATGCTCACTCTCAGCTCTCGTACACTCACTCTCTACCTTGGCTGTACTCGTATGTGTGTTTTGACTTGAGCGAATAATTTGGCAAGAAGCTGTGGTTTCTACGTGCTATGTATGTATATGTATGATTGTGTTTAAGAGCGAGCAAATTCCTTAGCACTATAATAGGTAGATTATACTAATATGTATATACTGACTTCTTCTTTGTTGTAGCCTCAAAGGCAATATCTTGCAACTGGGTACAACAGAAGAAAATTCAGTGTCATAACTATTGCTTTGTGTGGAATTTTTTAGGGGAATTCTTGCTTCTTTAATTGTGAGCTTGTGTAACGTTTTTTTATTACCTATTTCAATTCATTTTATTTATATTATTTCATTTATTTTTATTAATTTTATTTTACTTTATATTATTTTATATTTAATTACATTTTTGCCTTTTTTTATAATTTTATAATTTATTTTTTCTTTAATAATTTCATTTATTTTATGCATATATTTAATTTTATTTTATTTTATTTTATTTTATTTTATTTTATTTTATTTTATTTTATTTTATTTTATTTTATTTTATTTTATTTTATTTTATTTTATTTTATTTTATTTTATTTTAATTTATTTTATTTTTCACTTCATCGTAGTTTACTGTGTTATATATACTTTATTTTAATTAATTTATTTGATTTTATATTTTTAAATTATATCATCGTTGCTTCAGCTTTGTTTTTGTTTATTTATTTCAGTTAACAGAAAAATACAGCTACGTGCATATGAGCACCATCGACTTATCCCCTACCAGCGCTGCAACAAATCGCCCTAGCGACTGTTAGCGCCATTCCCATTCACATCTGAATTCCCATGTACACAATTATGGTATTTTCTATTATTTCGAAGAGTGCATAGTATACATATGTATATAGACATAAGTACATATACACATATATAATATTTCACCTAAATATGCCTAAATGTATGCTTCATATGACTCTTAACGACACACATACACAAACATACCTCGGCAGTTATGAGTGTCGCTGTATAAGTGAATGTACATTTCCAAGTCCACATTTTTTCAGTTGTTCATTTGTTTGAATGCTTGTACATTTAGCATATGTATATATATATATATATATATATATATATATATATATGCAATGTGGATATGCATTTTCATGCCTTTCATATTTGTTTGCTTTCTTATTTATATTTTTTCATTTTCTTTGTCACACACGAGAAACTTCTCAAACAATCATTTCTATGCTTGGAATTCTCATTTTGTTAATCGTCAGGCACGCAGAGAAAGAAGAAGAAGAGTAAGAGTAAGAGCATAACAAGACAGATATGCCTTCAATATGTATTAAATACATATTTACATATACTTTTCCATTACTGGCTGACTGACTGTATGACTGACTGACTGACTGACTTACTGGGCTTGACATTCTTGTGCTGTACTCAGCCTATTTTAGCCACTGTCTTTCATATTTCTTCTATTCATCTTGGAATACTTGACTTTTTTCGATTGTTCTCTTGTCTCTTGCAATGATTTTTACCAGACTTTATTGTTGGAGGTATGCCATATTTGATGTTCAAGCAATACAAGTTTGCCACCGAGGCAAAGAGTGGTAGGAAATAATTCCTTCTTATTTCAACCTTTGATATATGTACACTGAATAAGTACACATATATATAGATATGCATTTATGTAAACTTATTTTAGAAAACCATTTTGGGTGGTGGAACGTCCATCAGCAACTTGGGACTTCTCATTCACCCTCTCCGTGTGGTATTTAGTAGTCTGTGTCTACAGGTGTACGCTCTAGGTTTGAAACCTGCGGTAGCGCGGTGGTTCTTTTCATCGAATTTTCGAACATTAGTCTTGCCTTCTCGAGCTTTTCATACTCACTTCTTTATTTTTTAATTTTTTTTTTTTAAAGAAATAGCGTCTTGCTTCTTTCTTCAGCTCTCGATATGTATCTCACTTCACCCCCGTTGTGATCCTTCTCAAAATTGCGAGGCAGGCAGTGCTTTTTCTCTCGATTTCAGTCCACTACTCTCTATATCTCGTCAGCTCTAGTTCTGACGTTGTTGGAAACCAATTGTTTCTTTAGCGTCGGTTCGTACAGATCTTGAAATGTCATTCCACTGCTGCCGAGTTCCTAATCAGCGCTTCCAGAGAGCAGACATTACGATGGGGATGAATCTTTGGCTGAGTTAAGATAGTGACCCGAGTCAATGTTAGGTGCTGGAACATCTTGGCGCATCGCTCATTGCAAGCATGAAGTAATGGATGCAACTCACCAGCTAAGTTCCGGTTCCACTTCATTGCGGCTTGTCTATATACCTGTTCCATTAAAGACAGTTGGCATGAAGCAAAAGGCGCACAAATACGATTTTTTTGGTCGTACTCTGCCTAATATTTTCATCTGTCGTGCTGTTTCGTTCGTATCTCTGTAGTCAGTAATAATATTTGGAGAGAGAGAGAGAGAGTCTGTTCTGTACAACCATTTCTTAAGGAGATCTACTACAATTCAACAAAGTTTTAAAGTTTATCGCCATTGAGCGTGGAGTTCTTTCTTTTTGCCATCTACCTGCTGCTTCTTCAGAACCATAAATCTAGTCTTGAAACGCACTACTTGATGAATTATATCTTTCGCTGCTCGCTGAGCGATTACTCAAAGGATTTAATTAAGTCTCGCACCATTTTTCCAGTGTGTCTCTTGTGAAATGTTAACCTCGGACACTTTAAAGGCGTCCAAAGTTTTTTGAGAAACTTCAAACATGCGGAGCTCCGTCTATCACCAAAGCCTTTCAAAGGGCGATGGCTTAGTCTTTTGAAACAACACAAGTGTTTTAGGAATTAAGCGGGGAGAGGATGAATGGATTTTATACAAACAATATTTATTATGTAAAAACAATATTTAACAACAAACAACACATTTAAACTTATATCTACTAACAATATTCTATATTACTTGACTAAAGCGTTCTCTTTGTCTCCATCCAAGTCTCTTTCACACCAATTCTATCTAAGTCAATCTAACTCTATCTGCTTAAATTCTTCAAAAACCACCCTAATATTCAATGGTCACACATTTCGTCTTCAAATACTCATTGAGCGCCTCCTGTCCCAGATCCTTGCCGAAACCGCTCTGCTTGAAACCACCAAATGGCGCAGCCACATCAGTCTTATTGTAAACATTCACAAACACCGTACCCGCCTCAATACGATCGGCGAATGCCAGCGCCTTGCTTATATCCTTCGTGAACACGCCACTGGCCAAGCCATATTCACTGCGATTGGCGCGTTTCATCACCGAGTCCACATCACTGCCATTGAACTTGGAAATAATCATGATGGGACCGAAAGATTCTTCTTTAGCAATGAACATTTCATCCTCGACATCTGTGAAGACGGTGGGCTGGAAGAAGTAACCCTTGGTGTTGGGCACTTGCTTGCCACCGTAGACTAAAGTGGCGCCCTCCTTAACACCGCGTTTGCAGAACTCGATGAGTTTGTCGAAATGCGCCTTATGATTTTGTGGACCATGTGCCGTGGAGCGATTTAATGGATCGCCAATAGTCATTGTGCCTATGTCCTTTACAACGCGTCGCACGAATTCATCGTGTATGCGATCCTCAACGAACAGCCGACCAGCGGCAATGCAATTCTCACCCTTATTAAAGAAGACCGAAGACATGCCCTGTGTGAGGAAGGAAGTTAAAGTTTTCATTATTTATTGAGAAAACTACGTATTTCTAATAGCAACTTACATGCTTAACAGCTTTGTCCAGATCACAATCGGCAAAGATAACAAGTGGACTCTTGCCGCCCAACTCCAACGAACACTTCTTCAGATTGGATGCCGCGCAAGACTTCATAATCACTTTGCCGATGGGTGTCGAGCCGGTAAAGCCCAGTTTGCGCACTAGAGGATGATCTGCCACAGCTTGGCCAGCGCCGGCACCCTGACCTGGCACCACATTAATTACACCCGGTGGAAAGCCAGCTTTAACAGTGAGCTCTGCAAATTTGAGCGCTGTCAGTGGGCAAGTTTGCGCCGGTTTGATCAAGCACGTATTTCCAGCGGCAATGCAAGCGGCCATTTTCCAGGATAACATCATAAGTGGATAATTCCAGGGTGTTACCAAACCAGTGACGCTGTAAACGGCAATGCAGTGGTTTAGAAACTTAGAATAATTCTCAAGTTACTTAGCGTACTCACCCAATAGGCTCACGCTTGGTGAAGGTCAGCACATTGTTTGGTCTGGCTGGATTCACTGGTATGGTGCTGCCTTGTATCTTGTCGCACCAGCCCGCAAAGTAACGCCAGGCATCTATCGACATGCCAATGTGTGTCTTCAAAGCTAACGTATACACAGCGCCGGAGTCCACCGATTCAATGGTCGCCAAGTCCTCTTTGTACTGCTCCATCAAATCGGCGAGCTTCATCATGAGTTGTCCACGCTGACGCGCCGAGACCTGCTTCCATGCACCATAGAAGGCATTATGCGCCGCCTGCACAGCCTTGTCGACATCATTACGTGATGCGCATGCTGCTTTACAGATAAGCGTTTCATCGGTGGGATTAATAATGTCCAACGTGTCTTTACCCTCGGCATCGATAAACTGACCATTAATGAAGAGTTGCGTGGGCACACGAATTTCACGTTTGTTCGCACGCATTACAAAACCTTCGAAGGGCACTTCAACGCCCGTTGCAGAGCTACCTTGTCGCAAGTTCTTAACGATCTCAACAAAAAACTCTTCGAATACTGGCGCCATAAAGACATGCTCATTCTCCAGTGGCACATCGAAGGCATCTTTGCACTCCTCCACCAAGCGCACCACATCCATGGAACCAGCGCCGGCGGCAAAGAAATCAGTCTCCGCCTCAATTGGAGCCTTCAGTATGGAGTGCCAAACACCACGCAAGATCTCCTTCTTCAACAACTCATCCTCACTGAACTCGGTGATCTGTGGTTGATCGCTTTGCTTGAACCAATCGGCAGCGTTGATCATCTTCGAACCCTTCTTCAGCCGACGTACATTCACAAAATTACCATCTGTGCCCTGCAACAGCAAACCATCTTGGTGTATATAGGCAGGTGTCTTAAGGTCCTTCAGTTTCAGCGAACCCAACTGTTTTACCGGTCCGGCTGAGTAGATGTGTGCACCAAACAAACGTATTTTCTCCTCGCTACCATCCGGCTTCAGCACCACCGCAATAGCACCTGGCTGTGAGTCTAAACCGCGCACAAAATTGAAAATATTTTTTGCGGTCTGATTTAAAGGCACAAACTGGTTTTCTTCCTTAAACATAGCTGGATCATAGGTGGCACCGATATCGGTTTGTGTAATCTTCGGCGCCGTACCAGCAGCTACCAAATCAACAGCCACACCCATCGACTTAACACCCTCGGGATAGAGGAATCGCTTGTAGATGGTATCCAGCGTATCGGTGGGCTCAATTGGCGTCTGTTTCTGCAACAAAATCGGACCGGTATCAAGACCGTCATCAGCCCAGAAGATAGTGAAACCAGCGTCCTCATCACCCTCGATCAGTGTCCATTGTATAGCGCTAGCGCCACGATGACGCGGTAATATAGAGGGATGATAGCAAATACTACCCAAATCAGCGCCATCAATCACTTCCATTGGTATGAATTGCGAGCAGAAAGGCAGCACATTGAGTGTAGCCTTTACGGATTTATATTGTTGCAATACCTCCGGCAAAGCGACACCCTTCTTCCGCCATGAGGCAAATTTAAATACGGGTATATTATGACGTGTTGCAGTAGTGGCTAAGATATCCTCGCGACTACCCTTATTTGGTATGGTGAAGACACCGACAACATTGTATTTCTTCTCCAAAAGCAGTTCCAAGACATCAGCAGCAAAATTGCTCTGTCCAATGATGGCAATACGTAGTGGTTGCTGGAAGGAAAGAGAGAGAGAGAGAGAGAAAGATAGAGAAAAATTATTTCATTTTGTTTTAGAAAAATGTGCGGCATTGTAAAGTTCTAGAGAATATCTTGATGCCTACACATCTTGTTGGCCATATTTTCAAATAAAATATTATATCTATCTTATTTTTTTACTTTGAGCTTCTGCTTAAGCTTTTAAAAAAATTTCGAGTGCAGCGGCACCTATTTGCAGCTTTTTGACGTATACAAAATGGAAAACGTTTTTAGAAATCTTGCTACGAATAAAAATACTACAATATTCCATAGTTAGAATGAGAAGTTTTTGAGATATTTTAAGTTTAAAGCGCCATCTATTGGAGCTTTTTCTAGTATTCAAAATGAAAATCTTTTGTGTTTTTTTTTATATTAAAATTTTACTATTTTTTTATTAGAAAAAAAAAACTAGATTCAGCAGTAAATTACTGAAAATTCGGAACATGCATGCGAATAAATTAAAATTAAATTTAATTAATTTATTAATTTTAAATTAAATTATTATCATCTCTAGCCTTAAAAATTTTGATTTTACGCTTCCAGCGCCACCTGTTTGGTGCTTTTTTAGGTATTCAGTGGCGTAATTTTTCAAAACCAGAAAAACTCTTTAACTCGAAAGCTGCGCTCACAAATCCTATGAGGAGGTGTTTAGAAAAGTCTCACTAATTTTTGAGTAGTAAGACTGAAGTTCTATTCCATTTCAAATAGTCGAAATCTACACTATGATCCCCGCTCCAGTTACTATATGCTAAAGCTTTAAAGCTTCGGTGGTTTACTTTATTCCTTAGAAATTAAAGTATTAAATACATACCTACCTACGTATTTAAACCAAATTTATATTTTCTTAATTACATACGTTTAGTCTGCTTTCTTTTATATAAATAAAGACAATAAATATTTATTTTCTTCCCACAAAGCCACTTAGGTATATATTTATGCATTTTCAAAATGTTATCAGTCATCACGAAAGCGTTCTACGCCAAGCCATTTTATAATTAAAACAATTTTTTTTTTTTCTTTCGATTTTTTCGTAAACAAATCTGTCCACTTTTAACCGGTTTTCATGACAATGCAATTAGAGAATCGAACGAAATTATGGAATTCTAGATTTCAGTTCTAGTAAGCAACAACCAAAAACATCTAACACGTGATGAAATTAATAGCAACGAACTGATTAAATAATAATAATATTATAATAAAGATGTACATATGCTTATGCACGTAATTCTGTATAAGCATGTATATATTGTATGTTTTTCAAAAGTAGATTATAAATAGTTCTTCGAAAAAGTGAAGGTTGTTGCACTGAAAACAAAAATTAGTTCGTTCTTATCAAGCGGCTATGAATGTGTATATGTTTTCACTCATATATACGTGCAAAAATTAAATAAAATTCGTGTGATTTCAAGAATCTCAAAACTTAACGAAAAATAAATAATAATAATTATTATATGTTGTTTATTTAATTTTAAGCGAATTGTGTTTTGTTTCGTCAAAGTGCTGGCATCTAAACAGTTTAATAGAACAAGTCCTACTATCTAATTTGCTACTTTTAGGAATTATTCATAAAATAAAATAAATTTCATACAACTTTCAGACAACTAAATAACAAAATAATTAGTCCCAAAATTTTATTTTTTTTTTTTGACGAAAATCTTTTAAATTGAATAAATGTATAAAATGGATTTTTTTTAATATTTTAGAGCGCAGGCAGTTTAAAGTAGAATATATTGTAGTAGTATGTTGTGTATATATGTATATTGATAATAATATTTGTAATTATTTTCAAGCATTTGTTTTTTCGTTTATAATGTTTTAATACTAACGGTATCACTTTTTAATTATTTATTTTAACGAAACTTATATCATTGAAGTAAAAAAAAAAAATATTGAAAACTTCGTAAAATAAATTCCACTTAACACAACGATAATTTCTAAGTCTCAAATAAAGTAATCCACACACTACTTATGGAAAATGTGTCTTTAAGCGCTCGAACATGATATAACCACTTAAGTGACAGTTATTATCAAATAAATATTATGTAAGAAAAAGTTGCATATATTTTTTTCTAAGCCTAAGTTAAGGGTTTGAGATTAATGCAATAATAGTAACACCGTTATCTCGCCAAGGTAAGTATTTAAGTGAGAACTAATGAAAGGTTATATTAAATACTAAATATTTAATTTTTTTAGAAGAGAATGCATAAATAACCGACTATAAAATTATTAAATTTCAAAAAAAAAAATTAAATTAAACTAAAATAAAATAGAATAAAGTATAATAAATGAAAATCAAATAGGGCAAAATAAAATAAACTATGAAAGTGAAATTAAAATAAAAATGAAAAGCGTATGAAATAAACAACAAAAAAATAAATTAATTAAAATTAAATTAAATGATATCAAACTAAAATAAATTGAATAAATTAAAGAAGAAGAAATAAACAAAATTAAATTAAAAAAATAACAAATTTAAATTAATATAAGACAAAAAAAATATAAGAAAAATCAAATCAAATAAATTGCAAAAAAAATTAAATTGTATTAATAAGGACACTAAAAAGAAATGAATAAAATAAAACGAAATAAAATAAATTAGAACAAATTAAAAGAAATTGAAATGAAAAATTGAACAAAAAAATACAGCAAAAATCAAATAAAGTACAAAAAAATATTTAAAATAAAATTCAATAAGTGAAATTAAATTAATTTAAATTGAATTAATAAATAAAAATAAAATAATTGAAAGCAAATATAAATAAATTAAAGCCAAATAAAATAAAGTATTTAAAATAAAATAATAAAATGAAATAAATTAAAAAATATAAAGAAAAAGTACAAAAATGAAATGAAATAAATTGGTGTAAAATTACAATAAACAAATTACGAATGAACAATCTTTACTCTAATTTATTTTATTTAATTTTTGTATTTTTTCTTTGTATTTCTTTATTTATTTCATTTTATTATTTTAATTACTTTATTTGATTTTACTTCAATTTGTTTATATTTGTATAATAAACAAAAAAGTAAAATAAAGTTAAGCAAATGAAATAAAAAGTCAATTATATAATATATTATAATATAGAAATGAAAAAATATAATAAAGCTAAATTGAAAAAAATAAACTAAAATGAAAAAATGGACTATAAGACAACAGAAATCAAATAAAGTACAAAAAAATATTAAAAAAAAATCAATTTGTGAAATTAAAATAATTTAAATTGAATTATTGAAGAAAAATAAAATAAATTAAAATAAATTTAATAAACAAATTAAAGTAAAATGAAATAAATAATTAAAATAAAAATAAAATGAAATAAATTATGAAATATCAAGAAAAATTACAAAAATTAAATTAAATAAATTAGAGTAAAATTACAATAAACAAATTAAGAATGAGCAAAGTAAAATAAACAAAAAAGTAAAAGTAAAATAAAGCTAAAAAAATGAAATAAAAAGTCAATTATATAATATAATATAGAAATGCAAAAAAAAAAATAAAGCTAAATTGAAAAAAAAAAACTAAAATGAAAAAATGGGCAAAAAGACAACCAAAATCAAATAAAGTACAAAAAAATATTTAAAATAAAATTCAATTTATGAAATTAAATTAATTTAAATTGAATTAGTAAAGAACAAAAATAAATTAAAGCAAATAAAAATAAAATAATAAAATGAAATAAATTAAAAAATATAAAGAAAAAGTACAAAAATTAAATGAAATAAATTGGAGTAAAATTACAATAAACAAATTAAGAATGAGCAAAATAAAATAAACAAAAAAAGTAAAATAAAGTTAAAAAAATTAAATAAAGAGTCAATTATATAATATAATATAGAAATGAAGAAATATAATTAAACCAAATTGAAAAGAAATAAATAATATGAAACAAAATGAACTAAAGTAAATTGCATTAATATAAATTAAATAAATTCAATTGAAATACAATAAAAAATTAAATGAACTAAAATAGATAATAGAAAGTAAAATAAAACTAATAAAATGAAATTAAATTAAGTTGTGCTAAATTCATTAATATATTAAATGATTTCATGTATTAATAAAATATAATTAAAATTAGCTAAACAAAATAAAATTAGATAAAACCGAAAAAAATATTATTTTATTTTATTTTTAATAAAAGGCATTAAAATTAAAATTAATTAAAACTTAAATTATTATAAATTAAATAAAATAATATGAAATGAAATGAAAACAATTAGCAACCCTTAAAAAGCAGATGGATAATAAAAATTATTTTTTAATGAATTCTGTGATGAGTTGAATAATTTTAAATAAAAGCACAGTACTGATGGAAAGTAATTGTATATTACATAACAAACAAATAAATTAAAAGTTTCCAATTTAAAGTGTGAATTTTTGAAGCAAACTTTTTACATATGGTATTTAGTAGTATGAGGAAACAAAGCACAAACTTTAAATACCTTAAAAAGCGAACAAATCAGCACAGGATAATTTGAATTTTAAGATGACATTTTTTATACGAGTGAATAAATAATAATATTGAAATGTTAAAAATAAAAACTATAATTAAAAATAAAATTTTTAAAGAAGAGGAAATAAAAAGTTTTTTTTTCACTTCCGAAAAAATTGCGTTTTATAATAAAAAAATAAATATATATGAAAATAAATTGCAGCAAAATGTTGATAAATTAATGAGAAAATCTGGTGTTACTTCATTTTTGGCTTTCCAAAATTCAAAAATAGTAGTTTCTAATATTTTAAAAAACTATTTTGAATTAATTTTTTTATTTTTAATAATATAAAATATGGGCACAAGCAAATTTTTTATGTAAAATAAGGATATTCGTTTTTCTTAAAAACAATACTAAATTATTTAATTTTCAGTAAGAGAAATATGTTAACAAAAAAGAAACATTTTTTGGAAAGAAAAAGAAAAAAGAATTGCGCGAAAGAAGATACGAGAAAAAAAATTAAAATAAAATAAATATTTATAATAAAGGGAATAATTTTTTTTTGTATAAGAAAATATGTTATATTTAATTGAAAATTAATTATTTAAATTAAGTGGTAATTTTACTTAATGTTTAATTGAAGAACAAAGTTGAATTATTCATTTTTTAGTTTTAAATCTGCAGTTTTTGCATAAATTTTTTATATAAAAGTAAGAGACTTCAATTCAGGTTATCTAATTTCAAATCAAAACAACACTACATGCACAATTTGCGTTAAATATAATTTTTTTTTAAGAAAAAAAGAGCAATAAAATGAGATATTAAATTGAAAATTAAGAAAAAAAGATAAACAATTTTAATACGATATTAAAATAAATATTTAAGAAATGGAAATCTTTATGTAAACATCATTAAACATGCGAAATCAAATGTTCGATTTCTTAAAAAAAAAATGTTTATTATATACTGAAATTTTTAGTTGTAAATTTGTGTAAATTTAAAAGAAATGATTTTTTTTTTTGAAATATTTGGTTATGAAGTGAATATTTTTTTTTTAATTTTGTTATCAAATTAAATCATTATTAAACATGCAAAATCAAAAGTTCGATTTATTAAAAAAAAAAAGTTATTGTTTACTGAAATTTTTAGGTGTAAATTTGTGTAAATTAATAAGAAATATTTTTTTTCTTTTAAATTTGGTCAGGAAATGAATAATTTTTTTTAATTTTTTTTTTTTCAAATATTATAATCAAAAGAATTAAGATATAAATTTAATTATGTTAACAATTATTTTTAATCCATTGATATTATTTAATTAATTAATATATATATAATATTATTATATTAAACTCTCTTTTACCCACAGAAAAACACTAAATTATAAATAATATTTTTTATACAAAAATTTACTTACAATAAATTTAATTTTAAAATTATTTATTTATTATTTTTAAGCTATATTTCTACCGCCAAATAATTGGCAAATTCACTTTTGCTGTAAAAAATACGTTTTTTTTTTCGTAAAAAAAAAATAAAAATTATTTATAAAAATAATTCGTATACTAACAGCCATGACTTCGTTGCGCTGCTTGCACTTGCACTTTTTCTGAGTTTATTACTCCGCTCTTTACTGTTTTTTCTGTTTCTTCCCCCTTTGTTTTTTTTTTTTTTGAGGAAAAATGCTTTCCTTTCACTTGTCAGCAATTAACAACGCGAAATTACAATATAAACTTCAACTTGCTGTAAGAAAACTGATGATGGCCAATTACTCTATGCTACACTTCACTGCGCCAGCCAGCAAGTTAATGAATGCACTTGAATATTATGTTATGTGTGTATGTAGGTATGCACTTCTTATGCAATTTCTTTTGAAAAATTAATTGAGTTTGTTGTTAATAAAAAAAAGCGACGACGACTTGCAGCTATGAGAAACTAAACACTTTTGAGTGATTAACAGCTGGACAACTGATATTTATATACAACTCAACCGGCAGAAATTTCAAATTCAAATATATACATACATACATGCATACGTGTACATATGAACAACATTAATGGCTGGACAAAAGAGATACGAGCTGATGCATACATACATACATACATATATGTATGTATGTATATATGAATGAAAATATTTTAAAAATAAAAGCAACAACAACTATTATAAACAAAATATTAAAAAAAAAAATTTCAAAAAAAAATTAAATAAATTAAAAAAAAAATCAAAAAAAAATAAAAAATACACTTTTATTATATTTTCACTCGTACATACATATTTGCATACATATGCACATAGGTATAACCACTATAAACTCGTGTACACTTTATAGGTCTTTATAGATGGGGCTTAGAAATAGGAGCACTTTCTTCACGCTCACTGCTGCTATTTTTTTGTTGTTGTATCGCACGTAAATGCTGTTATCAATGATTTGTCGAAGCTTTAGGTGCACACTGTCTTATCACTTGCATATAAAACAGTGCAATGGAGCACTAGAAAAGAGAATTAATCTATTTTTATGTTTGTTTTGCTTATTTTTTTGTTTTTATTTTTATTTTATTTTTTTTTTTTGCTCTGAATTTTTGTTTTATTATTTTTATTTCACTAGTGAAGTTGGTAGCATTCACACGCCCAACTTTTAGCACGTCGTCACTTATGCGCGTGTATGTTTGTATGTATGCATGCAATAAATATATTGCACAAATAGCTGGTATCAGGCGGTCTGATGATTCTCAAGTGTCGTATTTATGCATTTCTTACAAGGAAAAACAAAACAAAAATGTTTAAATTAATTCTATATTTAATTTCGTAAGGCTACACGTGTGTGAGTGTTAATTCTACAGATCTAGCTAACAAATTTAATATTTTAATTTAATTTTAGTATATAGATTATATATATGTACATATATTAGAGGCATTTTTGAAACAGTGGAAGCGACTTTTTTGCGCCGAGCTTTTACTCCAGCCGACTTATTCGCCAAATATGTGAACGTGTGACTTTTTCCAATATCCAAAAAAAAAATTAGAATCCTTAAAGTCGATCTTTTTCACCCATTGATGACAATAAAGGTAGATCGGTGAAAGAACTAAGGGTTATTACAAAGCTCAAGTTACAGAGACGTTAGCTGATATGCACAATACCCAAACGCGGCTTCGTGAGGGCGCCAACAACAATGTAAACGAATAAATAATTTATTCCAATTGATTCTGGTTATCTATGGCGGGCGCTTCGTATATAAAAGTCTGAATGGAATCTGGCTTTCGAACAGAACAGCAGAAACTTCTGTATCTAGCCACAGAAGATGTGCCCTAGATTATTACTAGAGTTAACACCGACTTGGTCCATATAGAATTTCGAGATGATTCTTATAAGATTTTTATTTGATTTTCACCTTATTTGTTTCATTAAATCTTAGAAACTAATAAGACAAACCGTATGAAAAATAAAAAAATATTCCCACAAAAGAGTCTAAGCAAGAAGCTTCCTATTGTATATTCCAAACCATAAATTTTTTTCACAATAGATTGTTCACGGGTTTTTTTCCATAAAAAAAGTGTATACAAATATTAGCCTTGGCAAAGAGCCACTTAAATATGCTTCATATATTAAGCAAAATCGAACTATCGAATCGGTGCCAGGACATGCCTTACCGTAGGAAAATTCTTGAACGCTTGTCCCGCATGAGGCTGTCAATGGTCTCAGCTCAATGGTGCTCTCAGAAAATCATATTCACATATATATTCGTATAGCCAGACTACTTTAAGAGCTCTGAAATGTGTAAGAGTAAAATCGAAAACCACAAATCACTCAAGCTGGAGAAGTCTCAATGCGTGACCAGGAAATCATGGCCAGCATAGAATAGAAGAAAATCACGTGACTTAATCAAGTTAAAAAGATAGAAGATATCTACAGTTATTTTAGTTGCTGACAAGAAGAAGAACCTGAAAGTTTCTGCCACTTACTTTGCGACTGCCCCGCACTTTGGACGAGTAGGTTGAAGTCTCAAGTGACGGCAACCTTTGCAGACACCTCTACACATGGATTTGATTAGCGAGTGGGGTCCTCAGGATTCGCAGTGATATCACCGCTTGGTGGTGTAAGGGAACTCCTTTGCCCGTTGCAACCAATTCAATCAACCCAACCAACCAATATAAGTAAAGAGTTGCCTAAGTACCAAATTTCATGTAAGTCGAACGATTTAATAATAAAAGTAATTCCTATTATGCGCGTTAAGTAATTTAAACTGGATCGCGTATAAGTACCGGCCTTCTTACAAAAGTCGTTGACAGCTCATTAATCTGCCTACACTGCACAATCGTAGGAAGATGCTTGGAAATTTTTTTTTAACTAAATTGATAAGAGGTTTTACTATCCATTTAAGATCAACTAGACACTTTAGGAGGTCTCTTTCATTGAACTCATGTAGCACAAACTTTGAAATGCACGACCCTTTTAGATCTCTATGTAACGATTTTAATACACATTTCGTCAACATGGATTCCTCCGACTCGCTTTTCTGTATCAAAATCTACTTACTGAGTGTTTTAAATAATTAAGTAAATTCCTTCTGCTTTCTCCCATGCAATTTTATAGCAGCTGACGAACAAATCTGTAGCTGTTTAGTGTTAGAGGCAAGTGTAACCGCGACTTTCCGCGTTGGGTTTCAGGTTTAGAGCAGTCTGTACTCTCACTGCTTTTCGGTCGTCGGTCTGTTAGATTTTCGATTACCCTCAGACGCGTTCTTTTTGCGGTTGAGCGTGAGATGGGTAACGCTGGGTTCGTCGTAAAAAAATGGAATCATTGTACTAATGCGTTTTTGGTTTTTTTTTTGTAACGGTCGTCTAGGCTGATTCATACACGGTGTGTCCCAAAAATAACCGAACTTCATATTTAAATCATACAACATACAGCGCCATCTATTGAAAATTTGCAACATTAAAAAGATACATTCATCCTCTTTCAAACGCACCTAACATCATGTAAGTCGGATGACAGATGTAAAAGTGACAGCCATTTCAATAAAACCAAAAGTGTGCTAATGGTTCAAAAATAAAATGGAACAAAGAGCAAATATAAAATTTTGTGTCAAACTTGAAAAAAAAATTAATGAAAAAAGTTTATTGTGATGATTGTATGAGTCGTACGCAAGTTTATACGTGGTTTACACGATTTAAAAATGGTCGTGAGGATTTAAATGACGACCCTAGAGCAGGACGTCCAGAAACTAGTAATCGTGCTGAACTGGTGGAAAAAGTCCGTGAAATCATTGGTATCGATGCAAATTTTACTACGAGAATGTTGGCTGAGGAATTGAATACGAGTAAAAACACTATTTGGAGAATTTTAACTGAAGATTTGGGGAAAAGAAAGGTCTGTGCGCGATTTGTTCCACATGAATTAAATGACGACCAAAAAATCGCTCGAATTTTTAATGAATTTTTAATGAAAAAAGGAATTTCTCTCATCGACCATCCTCCGTATTCGCCTGATCCATCACCATGTGACTATTTTTTATTTCCAAAACTGAAAACCAAGATGAAGGGAGCATTTTATGATGATATCCCAGCCATTCAAGCAGCCGTAACCGAGGTACTGAAGAACATTTCTATAAATGACATAAAAAAAATCTATGCATGCGCTGGTTGATCGTTCCAAACGTTGTTTTGAATAAATAATAACTTTCAAAGATAATATAATGTGTATTTTATTTTATATCCAAAAAAGTTCGGTTATTTTTGGGACACACCGTGTATAAAATCTCCATCGGCATGCATTGCTTGAAACTCTGAATGCAGAGCGAAGCAAACCTGCCATGCCATTATATGTATGTATTCGATGTGATAGGTCCAATACACTTTTTTGTTATAATATGTACTAACCTATTCATTCAAACAACAACAATGATTAACAATTTTTATTATAGAGTTTTTTCGTAGAATTTATAATGAGTTTATGAGCAAACCTGTTTGAATACATGAGTATGTACATATTTTCTATGGTTAGGCGAGCCGAGCCCCTCGAATTTAATTGCCTAATTCATTCATTCATAAAAATGTTGACTTCTTTGCATGTATGAACATGTGCAAGTGTTGTTTTTACTTGTTTTCTTGCATTTCCTTGGCAATGTGCACATGAAATATTTGTTATTTCCTCTAAAAATTATGCAAATATTTATTATTAAAAAAATTAAATTAATTCAAATATTACAGCTTTTCTATAGTTTGAGCAAATTAATTTACGAAGCAAGTTTTTCTGAAACTGACAATGTAGTATAGGCTTACCCATATTGTGATTTCAAAAGTATAAAGCTGTATTTTGACATCTATCAAATTTAGCCGTTAAACCAAACATATTTTGATTTTATTAAGTAAACTACGAGGCCTTGTTGTTTGTATGAATTGAATATTTCTTATACCACAAAAAAATATGGTAGAAGTGACAGCTGTTTCGGAGATCACCACATCTCCTCATCAGACTTCTTATGGCAGGGATCGAACCAACGGATCCTGACTTAACAGGCGAGGGCTCTGCCACTGCGCCAACATCAGCAATATAATCTGTTGTTGTATTATTTGATTCATTATTAACCAATTAATATATTTTATTTTAATTAAAGCCAAGAATTTATGAAAATTAATCGCTTAACGACCTGAAAATGCGTCAAAATTGGTGGCACCAATGTTGGCCGGTTTTTTTTTACTTTAAAAGGAGATTATGGTTTTAAGGAAATTCGAATGGACTGGTTCGATTACAGATTCAATAAGGCATATGTATCATCGTTCGGCTCGTCCCACTTGAGTTATCGCGACTGTAAGTGAAAATGTAATCGAATACCCGAATGAGTCTACTTCTCGACGTTCCCAAGAGTTAGGACTTTCTTACGGCACATTATGATGTATTTTGCACTTGAACTTACACCTACATTCATATAGAGCCCAGCTCACACAACAACCATTCAAAATACTTACGTCGATGGGGTACTTGAACACCAAGCAGTGGACGGCGAATTTTCGAACGCCAAGGCAAATTCGACACTCAGCAGATACGTAAATACGTAAATAGGCAAAATTGTCGCAATTTTGGGGTACGAAAATACTCAAATAATTGAAGCGAGACGGGAGAGAGAGACCTGCCTTCTTTTTTTTTAACCTACAATTGAAAAGCATGCCACACAACACGAGCGAATATGGCTTTATTTCGAGGTAAATTTCTCGACCGAGGAATTTTCTTGGCTTGGCGATGTCAATTGGGCACCGAGATCGTGTGATTTGATACCATTGGCCTTTTTTTGTGGGTCTACACGAATGATCGTTTTTAAGCGAATAAACCTTTCATTTCTGAGTACGGGGAAATTAACAGCCGGCAGGTTATGACTAAGATACCGCCAATAAGTGGTGAAAAACTACCTCAAATCGAAACTACCTCAGATTGAGGTTTGCAAAAGTTAGTGTTTTTTAATGATATAGTGTTCCACATACCAAGGATCAAATATTATAATAAAAAGGAGTTTCACAAAAAAGAATTCTTTGTATCCTTTTTACTTACATTTATTTTCAAAACCGCAAAATAGAGAATCGTGCATAAATCAATTTTTTTAAATGAACATCAACTTATGCTTTATTAAACTATTTTTCTTTAATATTTTCCAATTATATTTATACAATTATTTCATTTCATTTCATTTTACATTACTTCACATCACCATAATCATCGGGATAGGTCCACCGGAATTGCAGTAATATAACCAAATATGTGACTATTGCAGCAAATGTCTGTAAATAAGAGAAATAAAATCATTTTTATTATACTCTAACATACAAAACTCCAAAAAAAAAAGAATAATCATTATTACCTTCATTAACAAACGCAAATCCACAATAAAAAATTCTTTCAGTGATATTACGAATGGATCTTGTTGTATTTGTATTGCAAATTCGAATAGCAAATCATTGTAGATTCTCGTATTTGTATATCTTAATTTGCTGTTTAATAAACGTTGCACCAAAACTCCGGTGGAAATGCCCTAAAAAATTCAAATTTTATAAATTAAAAAATAATGCACAAAGTAAAATTAATAAATTTTTTTTTATGGGTATATAAGATTTTTTGGTTTATTTTTTATTATTATTATTATAATAATTGTAAATCGCATATGTACATCACCAAAAATTATTGTATCAGTAAAACTTTTGCACGACTTATGTCGCTAGATGGCGCTGACACTCTTATATTTAGCGCAACACTAATCCATTTGTGTCAAACTGACACGTGCTTGATATCTGACATTTTAAGCAATATTTTTCGTGAGTACACGTATAGCTCTGTTAATAGTCGTTCATATGAAAAGCTGATTTGATTTGAAAATGAATGAAATTTCCACTTTAAAAAGGTAAAGAAATGCTGCGAGGAAACCTGCTTAAAAATTTGTGTAATCTACTATGAGAATGCTGTAAATGAATGCCGCAGCTAAGGTTTGCCCGATTTCGTGCCAGTAGCTTTGATGTCAAAGACAAATCACGTTCTGGTCGGCCAGTCACTTGAACATCCCATTAAATTTTGCAATTGGTGGCGTAAGATCAGCATGCAAGCTGTCAGGAGATAAAAGAAGCATTGGGCGTCACTCACGTGGCAGTTTGGAATCATTTAAAAAAAGCTGGCTGCTCAAAGAAGATCAATGTTTAGTTGCAATATAAATTAACCCAAACAAAAAATTATTAAACGAATTATCATCAGTGAAACATTTCTCAAACACGATGAAATCGAATTATTGTTGAAGCGTTTAATCACAAGCGATGAAAAATTGGGTTAAGTACAAGAGTATCAAACAAAAAATCATAGGCAAAGACCGTTGACTTCAAACCCCGAGTTGGCTGCAAACTAAATGATACGCGCTGGAGAGTGGTATTGGAAGGGAATCATCTGTTACAGAGCTATAAAGTGGTGGAACAATAAATTCAGAACTCTACTGTCAACAATTTTCCAGTTTACAAGAAGTTTTTTTCTTTTCTCAGTGTCCAGAATTGATCAATGGAAAAAGTGTTGTGGTTCATCATGATTACTTTAGACCACATACATACCTCTTCGATGTGCAGGTGAAAGTTCACGGTGCTTGGTTTTAACGCGCAGACCATATAGCCCGCACTTTGAACCATCTGATTAACTTTTATTTCGACCTCTGAAAATTTATATCGATGTTAAAAAATTGGTCGGCCAAGTGTTTTCGAAATTTCGGAACCTAATACTGTCGACAGCAAGTTTCTTCCTTTCATTCTTTTCATTTTTATAGTTCCTGGAGCATCTTTTTTTTAAAAAACTATCAGTACGTCAGTGTGTCAACCCATTAGAAAGTGACCGATTAGAACTTCTTGGCAAAACCTCTCTTTCAAAGGAGTAAATTTCTATTTTATTTCGACCCATTCGGTTTGCCTGGATTTCCGACAAGGTGTTCTGTGATTCCATCTTAAGCCGGCCTATTCATGAGTAAATTCTTTGAGAGACGGTTTGCGTGTGTCTAATTCTAGTCGAGTCCTGTCTGGCGTTTTCTACTGCAATATTGTTTGCTGTTTCCCTCGTTAACTCTATGAGCGATATGAGAGGCAGTCTGTATCCATATCCTGCAAGAATTGACGATATTCCGACAGAATTTTAGATTGCAACATAAAAATTTGTTGCCTCTATGAGTGCGCAGTTCTCAGCTTGAAATATACAAAAATAATCTATTAGCCCATATGGCAGTTCCGTGGCCGGTTTTCTTAAGAAGATATAACCTTTAGCTCGCCCCAAACGGTACGGCACCAAATGAGGCTTCAGACATGAAATTGAAAAGTAAAATCCTCTATCTCAACAAACTAAGACCAAATTCTACAAGTAGATCATGACGACTTTACTACTTTGCGGTTAGATTAATGAACGATGACAACATACCATGAGTCGGCTTGGAAAGCCTTCGAGAAAGATGTTTAGCGGCGCATGCCGCAGGCAATGGAATGTCGAACATAGTTCATCACACTGTCCGCATAGACGAAAATACTTCAGCTCTGAAAGTTTACGATACAGTATCCACTTGTGTAAGAAGAGGAAATGGAAGATCTTCACTTGAGATTGATTGAGAAGCGCCAAGCTTCTCCTGGTATTTCTATTTGGCGCCGAAGGACTAAGATAAGGACGAATGGCGCGCTATTATTACTGGGTCAATCAAGAGAAAGAAGTATAAGTCTATAAGCTGCCCTGCACATACTTTAGAGGCGAGTTTCTGCAACAACTTGCTTATCAGATATATTAAAAATAATATTTTATATGTACATATATAATACCAAAACTTGAATTAAAGATATCACAAATATTTACTCACCTGCTGCTTACAATTCTCGCCTGCATAGCACAAATAGGATGTGGCTGTGGCCAATGGGAACACCGTCGATATGGTTAAATAGAGGAAATAGAATTCAAAAATTTTCGATAACGACAGAAACGTCCAATACGAGTTAATGGTGATGTCTAGAAAAACTACCGTTATCAGAGCACAAATCGACCAACCAAACAAATCATCAAACATAAAAGTCAACTTCCGAATTTCACCATAAACCATTTTCAACTGCAAAAGATAATCGAAGGATTCCAGCATTTTATAATTGACATCCAAATACAAACGATCTCGAGTCAAACGACAATTTGTCACCGAACGCAGCTTCATATTCAAATGCGACATAAAGAAATCGATGTAATCCATATAAATGACAGCCATGAGGCAACGTGTACGCAACACCAGTATACAACCCAAGGCATACCAAAAATAACCGTAATAGTATTTCGTCCAAATGACCACCATCGATATTGGCAAACAACCATACACGATGCACGAGTAACAGACATATTTCAAACATTGACGACGCCGCAAACTCCAACGACACAGGCCGGTATGCAGACGCTGCTGAAAGAGCCACACAATGCGTTGAGTTTGTTGCATGAATGCAAAGTAAAGACGATATGTGGACATCACTTCCACTAGGCAAACGGTAAGCGCTATACTCTGGCTAAGGAATACCAATACGCTGATATAATTCGAGACGAGCACTTCATCACCCAAGGGCTCTTCAAAGATTCCATAGATGGTTAGCGACCAATTCGCCGCAAGCATGATGTATGTATAGATGCGTTGCCATTGCTGGTATCGACGTTTGCGGTTGTTGGCGTACGGCACTAGACCAGCGATGGCCAACCACTTGAGTATCGGCTGCCGTTCATGCAGCATGTTGTTGTAGACATATCGGACCATTTTGCGCTCGTTGTACTTTTGCAAATGGGTCATGTGCAGGAAATTATTTGTAAATTAGTTCAGGGTTTGCATGGACTTACTGTGATGTATAAAGGAGTGTGTGTGTATATATCTGTATTATACCCAGCAAAGAAATAGATTCCACGAAATACAGATACTCTACAAAGCTTGCTAGATTCAAAATCAATTATGAAATGCCTTCTCTAGAATGAATCAGATTGTTCAATATAGCAACAATTAAAGAAGTATATTACATAATCTTCAAAACAGACCTTTCTTGGAATCGCCTAAACTGCAAGTAATCAATTCCATTAGATTTAAAATCCATTACGAAATGTCTTCCTTGGAATGACATTCACTGGTGTATAAAGCAGTCACTTAAAGTATAGATTCCACAAAATTGAAAATCAACTAGGAAAGTCTTTAACGGAAACAAACAGTCTGACTGTTAGCCTAACCTTACCTTCTTTAATATTTTATTATGTCCACAGCTATACACTTCTTCAAGCCATTCCCTGGAAGACGGCGTAGAATACGTCTCTTTTATCAATACATTATATCCAATGGTGAGTTTTTCTCTCTCTCTCGTTCAATGAGAAATTATTTTATAAAGCGCTAAAGACTTGTTCACATCAAAGCGCTTGGCTAACTTCCACTCCATGACCTTCCGTGTAGAGCATTTTATTAACGGTTCTCACACTTTACAAACTATATGCTGGGTTCATTCAATAATACCACAATCTTCTCAACACAAATTGCAAATAAACCACACACATTACGGTATCGCATAGAAGATTTACATTATTTACCTGATAGTGTCCGTTCTTATTGATGTATGGCACTTAGCTTAATTCCATGAGGTAAACGGAGTGTGAAAGTAAGTGCAGGCAAACTTGTATGCTAGTTCAAATAATCTGTCCATACTTACACTTGCCGGATGTGTGGTGGAAGGAAGTTCAATTTAATCGATTCCACTTTTATAAATTTAGTTAACTTAATAGAAGTAAAATGTTTATTAAATAGTGAGGTGGGACGATGAGACGATGCAAAGATACTCAAGCCAGGAAAAGCTTTTGTGGGAATAAAAAATCGAATATAACGTCATGTCATCTGGAGAATCCTTCATGAAACAAACAAGAGGGGCGCAGTTTTATGAAAACCCAACTCACAAGCGCTTCGCTCTATATACGAGTACATGCGAGTATGCAGCACCTATTTGCGGTAAAACTCTCTCCATACAATCGTTCAATTAGCTAATTGAGAACAATTCAGCAATTAACTCTCTTCTTAATTGCAACACAATTATCAGTTTCAAATGAGAAAATTAAAGGATCTAGACAGTTAGAGAACGAATATCACAGTAGAAGCACAAAAGAAAGAGGATATTTGCGGTAAGACTCTGTTCGTACAAGCATTCAATTAGCTAATTGAGAACAACTCTTAATTGCAACACAATTAGCAACAGCAAAAAGCAGTTTCAAATGAGAAAATTAAAGGATCTAGTCAGTTTGAGAACGAATATCACAGTAGAAGCACAAAAGAAATAGTCTAGATTTGAATAAATCCCAAGAGATAACTAAACTTTGGGAGAGAGGCGAACTTAGGAATATGTATGAACACTAAACCTTCGAATTATAACACAATTTTTATTATCTCAAGTGAAAAAGTAAGCTTTCGATCTTTGTGGACAAATGTATAATTCATTTAACCACTCGGTACTCTCAATGAAACTATGCTTTCTATGGACAGCCATTTAAGGTTTGGTATCTGATGAGCTCCAAGTGTGCTATATCGAAATTTTGCGAAGGAAATTGACAACTATTTTCTTTTTCTCTTTCAGTTCTTTGAAACGGCAACAACATAGATTTCCAGACGTTCTGAGCATAGCTTTTTCTCTTGGCATCACTAGTGTACAAAGTTCTAACACGGCTTCGGATGCATCAAAGAAAGCTCCCAACTAGGTCAACTGATCAGCATTTCGTTTATCGAAAGTAATCCTATGGTCAGGAACTCAGTTTGAAATTATGTCTGTTCAAAATGCCAGCGAATTTGAGACCTTCCTACATTGGTGTCACGATCACGATGGAATGTGTGTGATATCACCATTGGTGACGCTAAAGGCCAACAGAGTATATATTTTCTTACTGTATCGTCCCCTAGCTAATTACTAAGGCTTCACCTCCTAATACTTTTGACTTGGAAGATGCTAAGATCGTCGATGTAGGTTGAGATGGTATCTTACTCCTCTTCTATATATATATATATATATATATAATTGGCGCTTTGTAACCGCTGGAGCTTCTCCTCCAATTTGTGGTTTTCTTGATGTTTATCCAACAAATGTTGGGACCTACAGTTTATACTAAGCCGCTCCGAACGGCTGAGGAGCCTTTATTTCATTTCCGAAATTCACTCAGAGGGGCATTTAACCTAATTTATTTTTTAAATTAGTTTTCTATAACTTTTGGATGTTGGACGCACGGGGATTCGAGCCCGAGCCTTCCGAATGTTAGTACTCAATGCTAACCACTCGGCTACCGCGGCCTTCTCTTCTATGCTATTTATAAATTTACGTTTAAAAGGCTTCCGCTGCTAGAAGCAGCTATTGAAATCTAAACTTGTGAAGATATATACTGAGCTGGGCGGATATTATCGGGTGGTGTTTTGTGCTAATTCAATACTCGTATAACGCTTTATCCATAGCACTTTTGTTTCCCCCCACCTAACTCCATTAGCTTAATCTTATATAGGCAATTGATGCTGGAACATGTTAAAAGGACATTCCACAAGCATGAGTTAATGGCTTCCGTAATAACTGTACAGCGGAGTTAATACCTAAAAGACATCCTTATACCTAACCAGCATAATTGTACTTAATGGAATGATTTTTATTATAATTTCATCAGCATGGGTTCAGACCAAGATCTAGCATTGACTACATCTTCAGCATGCCTCAGATTCTGGGAAAATCGTGGGAAATAACAAACCTGCTTTTTGTTGACTTTAACACCGCATTCGCTCCAGCATAATTGAGAAGGACTTTACGGTTAGATAACAAATGACGTTTCAGCTCAGTTGACTGATGAATGAACTGAGCTGCTATCATTGGCACCAAACGATCAGTTCTGTTTTGAACAGACTGGGTACGAAAGCAAGGCGAAATGTCTGATATTATAAACAGCAGTCAGAGCACCTTGAGTCTTGGCTCTCACGTTTTATTGACAGTCTAACGTTTAAGAACATCTAACTTGAAATCCAGGCAGCTTCTGCATTCTGTCTATAGTTACTAGTTTTTACTGACAGAACAATTGAAAAGCAGAGCTTTATCTCTTCGAAGATAAAATTAAGCTTTTCATGAACAGGAATAAATTTGCTTCGTTGAAAAGTTAAGGTGGAGAAAAACTTGGTATCACTTGGCATCTTCAATTGGCGCTGAATACTCGTAGAAGAAATGATGGGCGCGCTAATATTACTCAACTATTGTATAATCGTGGAAGCAGAGAAAGGTTGAGCATCTTGCTCGCATATATATAAAACAGATTTTTCAAAACCTTCTATTTGTTTTTATATTTGACTAACTTCTAAATAACGTGAATCCCGAAGAAGGGATGCCATAAAAAGTACCTCTAAACAAATATATAAATGTAAACTACTTTTAATTAAAATTATTATTTTTCGAAATATGTGAATAAAATTTAAAAAAAATTAATACTATTATCTCTTTGTATTTTTACAACGGGGAAATACACTCGGGGACATTGTCATTCACTGCTGAGGACCGATTGTAATTAAAAAATATAAATATTCGATTCTTCTACTATTTATAAGGATCGCGATGTAATAATCCTGCGGAAGGATGGATGAAATCTAAATTTTATATACAAAAAAATTTAAATTAATTATTTTATTTTAATGAAAAATTATTAAAACACGAACTCTCTGGACCGTCAGTCAAAAACAAACCACAAATTAAAAAAAAAATATAATAATAATAATAAAAAATAATAAAAAATATAATAATAATAATAATAAAATAATAATAAAAATAATAAAAAAATAATAATAATAATAATAATAATAATATAAAAATAATAATAATAAAAAAAATAATAATAAAAAATAATAATAATAATAAATCATCTGAAAATACTTATAAATAATAATAGCAACAACTTTTGAATTCCCAATAAAAATTGTTTGTTAATAAACAAATAAAAAAAAAACAAAAACTATGAAATTACTTATCAAATTTGTTTAACATTTGCACATACAAACATACGCGCATAAATACAAATAATAAACAATTTTTGTATACTCAAATATATTTCGGTGGTGAAATTCATAATAAACAAAAAAATAAAATAAATAAAAATTTTACATTTTGCTATCACATTGTTAGTGTAGGTCACGCGAGGCAGATAAGCTGATGAGATTTTTATTCAAGAGCAAATTCTTATGTAATAAAATATTAGAGGATAAAACATATAACATCGCGTTAGCTCCAATACAAGCTAAGCATCGTGCGGAGCTGGGATCTTCAGAACCGACGATGAGTACCGCTGAAGGGAATATAAAAAAGATATTAGTAAAGCCAAAAGGGAGTCGGACAAATAAGGAACCACATATAAAGCTTAGAAAATTACTATTTCTATAAGGATTTCCTGAAAGACTTGTTCAATAAGCAGTTTCCCGGTGTACGGACAATACAAATTTCCAATCTGTAGAGATAACTTAGAATACATTCCAGCCGATGGAACAAAATACTCTGAATAATCAACGACTACGAACCGTTTAATCATCTCATTACGGTTTAACTCTGTACCTGTCCGTTGGAGAGGCGAGGATCGTATTCATTTAACTCTGTACCTGTCCGTTGGAGAGAGGCGAGGATCGTATTCATACCGAAAGCGGGTAAAGGAGTTTGGAGAATATAGACCAATAATTCTAACCTCATTCCTACTGAAGACATTTGCATAGATTCTAGAGGCTTAGATCAGAGACCAGAGTCAATATAATAGAAACTGAGACTACACTTCATTCACTAACTCCAGGTAGAGAGAGAAAGAGAGATTTAGAGCATCAAAAAATACAACCTAAGACTCTTTATGGACATAAGTGGAGCATTCAAAAATGCATTTAATGATGCCAACATTAATATTTTATCATGAAGAAAAGCACTACTGAGCTACATGCAAATAAATGTGGAAAGTAATGAAGCCGGACTGCTCAGATTAAAACGTGCAGGCTCATCAAGTGGTGTATTAAGCTAATAGCCCACGCAGACGGTATAACTATATAGGTTCATAGGTTTAGCCTCATCGGCTAACTCACAAGTATATCCTACTGATACGGATACGGTACTCTCTACGAGGAGGTAAAAACTTCCGGCACGCACCGAGGCACAGCGGGATTGAGCTTACAATCAGATCAATCGAAGTACCTGGAAGTGATTTCGGAGATCAAACTGATTTGGAAGCCCGATGTGGCAGAGAGGGTGATAAAGACGAGTGGTGGTCTCTGCATGTAAAATATGTTAGGATCTACATAGAGGTTAAATCCATTAGTGCTTTGTTCGGAGTGTATACAACGATTGCATCACAAGTGGCTAAGAACCGCTCAAATGGCTGCGCTAAAAGATTACTCAACCTACCACCAATCGTCATTGCTGTGGAAAGCTTTGCAGCGAAATCAGCTGAAATGTTGGTTATGTTGGTTGAATTTCCTATAAGAACCTGCGAGCAATTCTCGTAGAACATTGGGTTTGGTGAACAAAATAGGCCACTTATCCGCACGCTTCATCTGGTTAAGAAGATTTCAAGTCACATTAAAAGAGTATGAATCACGTGATAGCATGCCACCCACCAGCAGAACTTCGCTTATCTACGTGGACGGATCAAAAATGTATGACCAGCATCTATCTAGATCTCAGGATTATAGCAGTGTCTTACTGGCGGTAGTCGTGGCGGTTAAAAAACCTGCTAAGATAGCTAATAACCTCAGGAAACCACACAAAACTCTACGTCGATAGCCGAGCAATAAGCGCACATTGGTATTACGTCAGAGAATGTCTTTACAAGTAGGGGGGCTTACAAGGTTACGATGGCTGCAGGAAGGGCTTTCGGAGAAACTAAATAGTAGATAATATTGCCAAAATTGCGATCCGTCTAGCTACCAAAACAATGCAGTTAATATGCAAGTCGCTATGCACCATACCAGAGCTAACAGACGCATCAGGGTGAAATGGAATGCCTGAACGGCATACATCATTGTCAATGTTATGTGCGAGTTTTTGGTCACACGGTGGGTTACGAAAGGATGACAGGGTCGTTGTTGCCCTAATAAAAACCAATTGGCAACTCAAGAGAGACGAATGGGCATCAGTAACTATGACGTATGTAGGAAGTGCATTGAAAAGGTATAAATGAGACACTGGAAAATCTCCTCTGTGCTTCTGAGATATACGAGGGTATTAACAAAAGTTCGGTCAGTTGATGACTTTCAATACAAATATTCAATGAATGCCAAAGTTTCAACTAGCAATAATCGCACCTCAGTAGAACTTCATTGGTTACGATATCTCCAAATTGCATATGGAGCGATTGCACCGTCTTTAGAGACTATCTCTATGTGGTTTCGAAGATTCCAGACCGAATATTTTTCTGTAGAGTACGAGCACCGAGAATGTCGACAAGAATCTTCCACTGATGACGTCACCACGTACAACCACGATTGACACAAGAAATGATTGCTAACGAGTTGAGCTTGAATGACATCTGCGATACAGGAAGAAATCTGCACGATGCGTACTACCAAATTTAAATGATGCCAGAAAAAAGACTCGAGTGCATTTTCCTAAACAAATTCGGAAATGATCAGTCTAGCAACTTTATTAAAGTCGTTACTGGTGACGAATATTGGATCGATCCAGAAACCAAACAGCAGCCAATGGTATGCAGCCCAACAGGAGCAAACTCACCCGTAAAATCTAAGCAACAAAAATCAGCAGCAAAAGTAATGAATCCAATTTACTTCAACCGATCTAAAATCGTAGCTGCTATTCCACTGGAAAAGGGTCAGGCGGTAACTGCTAAGTGGCAAGCCGAAGTGTGCTTACCAAGAGTTTTCAAAGATTTGTTGGAAAATAGGAGAAAACAAGATTTGCGGCGCTGCTTGCATGACAACGCGACATCCTACACTGCTGAAAAAACGAGTAGTTTTATTGCAAATCTCTGGGTTCGAAGAAATAGGTACATCACCATATTCCCAGTTTATATCACCTTGTGATTTCTGAATATATAGACTTAAGAAATGCATTGAAATCAATGTCGTTTATCTAGAGATGATAGAAAAGGCCAAAGATTACGAATATATACAAAAAAAAAATTTTTGTTCGTTTTTTTCTGGTCAACTTAATGAACTTTTGTTAATCTCCTCATATATATATATTAGGTACTAGAACCGCGGAGGAATGGTTTCGACGATTCGGAGCCGGTGAAAACGTCACCATGGATAAGCCAGCCGGCGGAAGACCTGTGACGAAAAATACCGATCAAATCATGGAATACATCGAGTTAGACCGGCATATGGCATCTCGTGACATCGCCCAGGAGATGGGAGTTAGTCACCAAACCATTTTGAACCATCTGCAGAAGGCTGGATACAAAAAAAAGTTTGATGTTTGGGTGCCGCATAATTTGACGCAAAAAAACCTTCTAGACCGAATCAACGACTGCGATATGCTGCTGAAACGGAACGAACTCGACCCATTCTTGAAGCGGATGGATCACATTCGACAATATCAAGCGAAAACGATCGTGGTCGAAGGCCGGTGAATCGTCCCAAACAGTGGCCAAGCCGGGATTGACGGCCAGGAAGGTTTTGCTGTGTGTTTGGTGGGATTGGAAGGGAATCATCCTCTATGAGCTGCTCCCATATGGCCCCTACTGCGAACAACTGGACCGCTTGAACCAGGACAACGCCAGACCACACACTTCGTTGATGACTCGTCAGAAGCTACGGGAACTCGGATGGGAAGTGTTATCGCATCCACCATATAGCCCGGACGTAGCGCCTAGTGATTACCACCTGTTCCTGTCCATGGCGAATGCCCTTGGTGGTGTGAAGTTGAACTCAAAAGAGGCTTGTGAAAAGTGGCTGTCCGAATTCTTCGCAAAACCGCGCATATTTTAACTAAATCCGATCAATGTAACACTTTTTATAAAGCATTGAATGAAGAGCAAAAAAGCGGAAGGGAGATATTTGACAACCTTATATATAAAATTCAATATCCAGGCTATCTCTTAAGCTCAGAAAAAAGTCTATATGTGGAATACTTCTACCCGAACTAAAACTGAAAAAACTAAAACTGAACCTCCATCGGGTATTACAAAGCGCCACCAGCTCTATGTATGACGTGACAGCCAACCAGTTCAACCTAACCTAACATAACTTAATACATTAGTGAAAGCCCAAATTAACCTTAAAGTTACTTAAACTTTTTCATTAATTCATTTATGGCATGACATAATGCACTTGTGCATGAGTTTTGCATCAAAAAATGTTAAAATTTTGCAATCAACACTTAACAACAGACGAGAACTCATTGAAGGTATTAATAATTTCAATAGTTTGCCATTAAGTAACTTATACAATAATTACATACATACATACATACAAAAATTTATACTCTTGAGCATGTACTCTTACAAACGAATGTCGATTATTCAATTTAAATATAAGTTCAGTTTATTTAACAAGTAAATATGTATGTATGTATGTCACCTAACTGAAGTGGGGATAACCTTAAGACCCTCTGCTGAGCTTAGCGAACAAAACAGCCACGTCTTGTTCGTGAAATCTTTTAAGTATTTCAATTGAGCCGCTTTAAACCGGTATAACGGTGATTTTAGCACATATTGAAAGCGACAAAAAAATATTTTATATTTATACAATTTTCATTTAATTTGTTGATAAGAAACTGGCAATGTACACGGTGTGTCCCAAAAATAACCGAACTATTTGGATATAAAATATTTAAAATACACTTTATTTTATATTTGAAAGTTATTATTTATTCAAAATAGATTGCATTTGACTCAACACAACGTTTGGAACGATCAACCAGCGCATGCATAGATTTTTTTATGTTCTTCNGCGTTTGAAAGAGGATGAATGTACATTTTTAATGTTGCAAATTTTCAATAGATGGCGCTGTATGTTGTATGATTTAAATATAATATAAAGTTCGGTTATTTTTACGACACACCGTGTATGTACATATGTATAAATCTAACCTGATTGCATTGCCTGTTTCCTTGTTGACTTTTCTTTTTTAGAAATGTCTGATTAATCATTATAAATCGGTATGAGTACTTTGTTGAAAATGTCGAAACCGGTTTGAGTTGGTTTGCATCTTCTCAACGAACTGGTTTTTCGCCTTTTCGTTGATAATCGTTTATAGAACAAAAGTTCAATAGACCATAGTGACCAACTGATAAGCCTTTTTTGTTGTTTTCATTTTTTGTTTTGTTTTGTTTACCAAATGTGCACGAGCTCGTTGTGTACCCACTATCACTGCGTATTGGAAGGTAGTCAAAACATTCATGATCACAAGTGCACGTAAATATATATTTTTCATATAAACTTTAATGAGTTGAGAAATTTTAGTGTTTTTTTTTGTAAAATCATCATTTGGTGTGTTTACTGAGCTGCTCTTCTTCTTCTTCTTCTTCCTCACTGGCATAAACACCGCAAACGCGACTGTAGGCGCACAGCATGCATTCGCTCTCTTCGCTGTTTGGCGCTAAGTGCTGTCAGGTTCTTCTCCACCTGATCTTTTCAACGGTGTTCTAGTCTTCTACTTCCTCTGCTTCCGTCGGCGTGTACCGCATAGAAAACTTCTTCTTCTTTATTAGCGTTGGCACCGCTTACGCGATTTTAGCCGAATCAATATTAGCGCGCCATGCCTCTCTTCTTTTTGCTGTCTAGCGTTAGTTGGAAATACCTACTCCAGCTGATCCTTTCAACGGAGTAGAGGTCTACCTATTCCTCTGCTTCCATCACCGGGTAATGCTTCGAATACTTTCAAGGCTGGAGTGCTTTCATCTAATCAGACGACATGACGTAACCAGCGTTGCAGCTGTATCTTCAATCGCTGAACTATGTCTATATCATCGTTTAACTCGCACAGCTCGTCGTTTCATCGCTTGCGGTATTCGCCGTCGCCAATGCGCAAAGGACTCTAAATCGTTTGCAAAACTTTTGTCTCGAAGACTCCTAAAGCCGACTGATCAGATGTTGACATCGTCCACTCCTCTGCGCCATATATTTGGACCGGTATGATGAGCGACTTTCAGAGTTTGGTGTTTTGATATTAGTTCTGGTCCCTAGATAGACGAAATTATCTACGACCTCAAAGTTATGACTGCCTACAGTGACGTGGGAGCCGAGTCGCGAATGCGATGACTGTTTGTGTGATGACAGGAGTTATTTTGTCTTGTCCTCATTCACTACCAGACCCATTCGCTTCGCTTCTTTATCAAGTCTTGAGAAAGCAGGACTCACGGCGCGGTTGTTAAGGTTAATAATGTCGATTTAATCGGCATACGCCAGCAGCTTATAGAAGATTGTATCTTCTCTTTTCAGCTCTGCCGCTCGTATGATTTTCTCCAACATCAATCCAAAAAAGTCACTCGATAAAGTAAGCTTTAGTGAAGTCACTGCAATATATGCAGTTTAATGTTTCACGCCGACCGCAATAACCGAGTACTCCTGGTCTGACCAACATCTAAAATCTAGGCCTACTCAAGTTACGAGGTTATATCCACCACCTATAGACCAGTACCAAGGAAGAAGAGGGTGAGAGTACCTCTGCGGATTAGGGGCTCAATAATTTACCCGCGGTAGGCATGCCTGTCGTAAGAGGCGACTAAAATCCAATAGTTCCCGCTACAGTCTGGTCTTTATACCGGAACGAACCGGATTTTTAACCGGTCGAGGACTGTCACTCCCGCAACATTTTTGCATTTACAACAACAACAACAAGAGGATGTGAGATCTCTGTCTGAACGGTCGGTCACTTACTTGGGAAGTCGCCGCTGCCTTGCTAGTTGATCTCCAAGAGGACCGACAGAGGGTGCAGAGGCGGAAGAAAGTAGGTCCCTGTTACAAATACCAAGGTGGTCATAAAAAAATAACGTAAATTTTTTGGATATATGGCGCAAGAGTGCCTCCACCGCAGAAACAGCACTAAATGGGCTGAAGCTGATCGAACTCTAAAGGGGCCGACATTATGTTGGCTGTAGTGCCATATTCCGCCGTAAGATAATTCATCAAGTTTCGTGACTGTCTCCGGTTTGCAGAGCTCGTAACCAACTTCACTATGTTGCTTTAGAAGTTAAAAATATATCAATATTCTCCGCTCCGAGGTACAAAGATCGACTAAGATCATTTTACACACCCATCGCCGCTCAGTTAAGAATGCCCATAGCACCATAGCAAACAAAAGAAAGTTTAGACGTCCAAAACCTGTATTCACAACAGACTGCCGAACGGTTTTGGACTGGACTTGCACTACTGCTCTCTGAGAGCACACATTATCAATTCTGTATACATTACAAGCAGTTAACGTGCGCCTAAGAAACTATTGGTTTCTGACAAGGTATAAAGAAGAGCTGGTACGATGAAGATTTTTGTGCCGCAATGAGACTGTCTACCTCGCGCTGTGTGAGAATGATACCGAGAGAGAAAAATGCAGCAACTTGCAGAGGGTTTTAAAACCGGAGCACATGTATGAATACGAATACGAAGGGTGAGTTGGTGACCTGTTCTGTTCTGTTGCCCAGAGCCAGAGAGAACACTATAATAGCTACTTGAGTTCCAACACAATACAGCCGGCGATAGTAAGCCCAATTGCCCATTGATGACAAAGAAATAGACGCCACAGTGACTAAGGACAGAAAAGTTACAATCTTTTGCTAGCGTTTAAATAACTCTCTCGAGCAGAAAGACAAATTTCCACAAGAGTTTACGATGGAATACTGCAGACGGTAGAGCGTTGAGCTGTTGTTGATATGGTTCAGCGTATTAGAAGACTTCGGCTACAGCATCTCGGTCAAGTCGTTCGTATGGGCGATAATACTCCAATTTTGAAAGTATTCGAGGCAGCAAACGCCTCCGTAGTACAATCTTCATGCGGCCTTTTCGAAAGTCAATCCTTTCTTCAGCTGCAGCACATAAGGAGCTTGAAGTGCTGGCGTTCTCTTAGTTGTTCTGCGCCAACTTTAATTGTTCCAAGCTGCCTTCAATATTAAAAAAAGGAAACACACACACACTCCTGTTATATGCATTTTTACATCTATATTTATTCGCTATGGACAGTGAGACATACTAATATGTTTCCAAGAGTTGTGCTAGTGTTTTATAAAAAATATAACCGTTATAATTTTGTAAAATTTTCAATGTTCTTGTTGTTGTTTTTAAGGATTATATGTAATCTCTGCATTTACCGAAATTTCATTGACCACTTCACCATCAGCATTGATGACCTCTAGATTACATTCAATTAAATCGAACTGATTTGCCTGCGCAGCCTGAATTTGCGCATCCAAACTTTCGTTGGTATCTTCGTTGAACTGTCTGAGAATTGGTGATTTTAGTAGATTAGTAAGACTGCGTGCTCTTTCTAAACCACTAGCGGAGGGTTTGACGTTGGCAGCGTGTGTTTCTGCTGGTGTGGCAGTGGTTTCGTTTGCAACGGCGATTTTGCGTTGAACAACCGGAAAGTCCTTATACTCGTCTGATATTTCTTGTAGCTCAGCTTCATGGAGAGTTCTCTTAGCACCCACTTGGGTTTGTAAATGTGCTGTGATGTCGGTTAGATAATTCGAGATCTCATCTTCGAGATGCTCCAATTTGTTAACGTTTTGCTTAGTCATTTCAGCAAAATCTGGCAGCTCTTGTGGTTTCCGTTCAATTTGCTGCGCGTTGCAATCACTTGAAGGTATTGTCTGCTTATATTCTTCTGTGAGACTGCTGTCAGTTTGCTGCCTGCTCATGTTATCTCCGACGACTGGTTTATCCTCTGGCACCTCTTTCATTTCATTCCTTTGCAACGCTTCAGTTACACTTTTCATCATTTCCTGCTCGTCCATTGGCGCATCGAGAAACTCTTCCACTACTTCCGGCATACCATAGTTCAGCATTTTCTCATATGCCACAACACCACGTGCTGTTTCTTGATCAATACCGTACTCCTCGTAATTGCTGCCATCAAATTTAAGCACACTCACAGCCACATCTCTAAGACGCTCGTGTTTCTCATGCAAAACATTGCACGCCTGTCGAGGTGAGGAGGGTATTACGCTCAACTGACGCGGTACTTCGTTGACTTTCTTTTCCAATATGAGTTCCGCCGTTACCAACTGCTTACACAGCTCTGCTGTTTCAGCGTTTTCTAGTTCATCGCTTGTTGGCGGTACGTCCTCATAGCTTGTATCTAGCTCAAGGAAAACTTCGTCGTCACACTCACGTGATGCAGCCGCTACACCGCCTCGACTCAATTCAAGCGGGTTGCGGAAAAGTCCACTATTCAGCTCACACTCATATGGCTCTTCCTCAGGTTCTTTCGTTTCCTTGCTGTACAAAACGGTTATTTCAGGTTGAGGCTCAGCGAAGCTCAACTTTGACGCACTGACGCTGCCCAGGTCATAGTCGTCTAACATGCTTCTGAAGGCGTGTGGTATGGGAAATTGTGCATCTAATTGTTTGATATTCATAAAGCCACTCGCATTATCCTGCTGAGTTTCATCAGTTTGTGATGGGTTTTGCTTTAGTTCCAGAATTTTCATTGTCTGCTTCGAGAGTGTCGGTTTTACTTTGCTTTCATGCAACTCTGTTTGTGAATGGCGTGTTTCCTGTTTTTCTTTCTCTCTCTCTTTTGTGCGCTGCACTAACTTGTGCAGTAGCTCGTTCTCTTCGGCTGTGAGTGAATCCGTTGTTTGCTTTGCCTCCGTCTGTAGGTCGCCGGTGCGTCTCTTCATGCGCTCTAATACACAGTTTTCATCGTCAGTGAGACGCAATTCTTGCTTGTCCTTATCCAATATTTGTTTCAAATCTGTATAGCTGCGTGCCGCCTCTACCACCACGCCGTCCACATTTTGTTTCTCAAGCGACGCCTTCTCGAAATCCAGCTTGTCTATGAACTCGTCATCGATGTCGTGAAATTCTGTTGGCTTCGTTGGTTCTAATGAGTAAAATTGCTCATTTTCCGCTTCCTCAGCGGCTTCAAGCTCTGCATACTCTTTTTCCTTCAACGCATTTGTGCGTTGTATTAATTGTAAGGCAGGTATGCGCTCGGTTGGTCTATAGGGCAATTTGAAGCTGCCAGCCACGTTCTCCTCACGTTTCACCTTCGCATCCCACAAATGCGTCGCTTCGTTTTCATTGTCATTATCTGAGTTCGCCGACTCGTAATCATCCGTGTCTTCACTGTCGCTGTATTCTAATTTGCTAGTGGGCAATTCTTCTATCTCGCCGGTATCCTTCTTCACCACCACCAACTTACCGTTTACCACTTCCAAGGTGTCATTGTACTTATCTTTTTGCGCATAGACACGATCCACAAGCTTGCGTACCCGTTCGCTCTCACGTTTGCGCTCAACAGCGATTTGCTGATCGAGCGTTTCATTGGTGTCGCTGTTAAACTCGCGCAGATTCGTTGAGTTCAGCAAGTTTTGTAAGCTTTTCGCTTTTTCCGCTTCCGTCGACGCGTGTTGGCGTTGAATTGCTTCGGTGCCTTCGCGTTCTTTGCGTTCTGCCTCGGTTTTATTCTTGCGGGTGATCTCCTGCAGTAGCTCATTGAAGGAACCCAATACTTCACGAATGCTACGCACTGGTGGCTCACTTGCTTTTGGTGGGTCTGTGTAGCTGTATTCTTCATCCGACTCAATGTCACCAAATTCATAGCACTTCGGTTTTGGCGGTTGCTCGTTTCTTTGTTCCAATATCGACAATTCATCGAGTAGATCTTTTACTATTTCACCACATATTTTATTCGCATTCTCGCTGCTCTCTTTGTCTTTATACTTAATCTCTTCGCGTATATCCTTCTCCAGCGCGCGTCGGTAGGCGTCATTGATTTTATATAACCGTTCATTTTCATTCTCGAGCTTTTGAAGCAATTGGCGCAGTTCGCGTTCTTCACGTTCGAAAGAAGCCTGAGCTGTAGGCTGCAGCCGAGCGAAGTTAGGTGCCGCATCTGTAGCAAACTCTTTAGTCTCCTCCGTATCGGCTTTTTTACCGTAATCAACCACGAGTTCTATTGTTGGCGCTGGTAGGTCGGCGTGATCACCTGGCACATCACACACACGTAATGGCTCTAACTCAGGAGCTTTAGAGTTTGATAAATTGTGCTTCTCAACACTACTGGCCTCTGGTGGCATATCCACGCTGTTCTCATCTTTGTGACTTTCATTCGTGTCCTTATCAGTTTCAGCGCTTTTTTCACGTTCCACATCGTCGCCTAATTGCGCAACGCTCGTATGTTCTACAATGGTGACAATGTGTTTCTCAGGTGAGGGCTCTCTATGTAGCATAAGCAGTATAGGATCCTGCGTTTCTACCACTGCTATATTATTTACAACACACTCAATTTCACAAGCACGCTCGGCACAGGAAACCTCTGAGGCTGCCGCTTCTTTGTCTTTCTGCATTTCTTCGAAAAAGTCATTCATACTAATTGAGAGCTGCTCAAAATCTTCGACCACTTTTTGATTTACTTCGGCGCATTCCTGTTCAAATTTAATTTCTTCAGCCGTCTTTGCTATAACATGCTCGACCTCATCCCCTGTTTTCTCAACTTCGCGCTCAACACAATATTCTCTTTGCTCTATTTCCACTTCCAAGTTTTCGCCAAAATCCATTTCTTCTTCCTCTATCTCCAGCGCATCTAAATTCTCCTCGGTTTCTATTTGCAGTTTGATGCGTTTCTTCGGCGTGGTTGTTGACAGATCATTCTTAGTAATCTGGCATATTGCATTCACAGTGTCAGTGTACTCATCTTTGCCAGCGTCGTCGGAGTCAGAGAGGTTATGTATTGTTTGACGTTTGTTTAAACGATGCGCATGCTCTATAACCGCTGGTAAGATCTCTGTATCGAGCAAACGCTCCACAACACGACTTGTTAGATCAACAACGCTCTCCTCATTTGCTGCCGCAGGGTCGGCCAGCTCCTCTATAAGAATACGCTTTGGTACAGTATTTGTAAGCCCTTTTTGCCCTGCCTCGCTCCGCTCTTTTGCTTCATTATCGGTCTCAACGACTTGCAAGATGCTCTCCATATTGCCTTCTGTTGCTACATCTAAAACTTGCAACTTCGTTTCTGTTGAGTTGTTCATAACCTTTTCATCCCTGTCAAGATTTGTACGGGATTCTAGAGATTTTGAATTCACCGAAATATTCGCATTTGAATCTGTTGTACTCAGCACCGATGTTGAGGAGCTGACATTCAAGTCGGACGAAGCTGTTTCGGATTTGGTATCCTCGTTAACAACTTCTTCCCAAATACCCAGCTCCATATTTATGCCAGCATCCACTTCGGCTTGACGATGTTGTTTAACTTCTGTGGATTCTTCTTCAGAATCGGATGAATTGAATGTGGGATCTTGTTGATCTGGTGGCCTATGCTTATTTCGCATACGAATTGTAGCTGTGAAGAAAATAATAAAATAGAATAAATCGCAAAATTAATGGAAATTCCAACAGCTGGAGTTCTGAGAGCTTGATTTCATTGACTTATGCAGAATAGTGGCCATAAACGAAAGATAACCCTAGGTTTTTTTATGACCTATGACCTAATTGCCACAATTCTCTTCTTAAAAGTTGACACATACGCGGTTCTAACCTAAAATATCCCTTAAAATATCCTCGGAAAGTGATTCAAAAGCCATTTTTTGTCCTCATGGGAGAAGACTTTTCTAGAGAGCAAATACAATATTCTCTCTGCTGCATAATGATTTATGAGGATGAGTCGGATTTATGATTTATGGGGATAAGTCGGAGTCGGTGTCGGAATCGGAGTCGGAATCGGAGTCTCAGCGCCAGTAATACTTTGTCTAGCAAGTGTCCACATTATCTTAGTGACTCTCGGTCAAGCTGAATTTGTCAGCTCAGAAAACAGGCTTTTTCTAGGTATATTTCCTTTGCTTGTACCCTACTCACCATTAACGCTATCACGTATTTTTTTACGTTCCATACGATTCCAACGTTCATTTTCTTTACGCTCTCCTTCGTAGCCGCCTGCTTTCCTATAGAAAAAGTGAAGGGAAAATAATAATTAATCTACTCAACTTGTGGTTAAATTTTAGTTTTGTAAAAAAGTGAAGTGAAAAACACTTTAACTTCACCAAAACTTTTTCATAGCGTAAATATTTCTTAAGGGTTTGAATCTTTAACCTACCAGGCTTCTGCGCAAGCACGATCTTTGGGAAACACTGGTCGACTGTCTAAATAAGTAAGTTCTTTCTATAAAAAATGGAAAGGAAAAAAAATTGAAATTAAATCGTACAAACAAGTATTTTCCACCACATTCGCAGACTTACACATTCTAGTATCAGCGTCTTACGATATTGCGGTAACTTAGAGACGACCGGATTGCCTTGCAACACCAAAACACGCAATTGTGGCATTTTGGCAAAAATCTGTAAATTTATTTGAAAAATATAATTTTTTGAGGAAACCTACTTTCAAATCGCCTGCTCAAACTCACCTTCACCACCAAAATATCATCGATGCGATTATTCGACAAATCCAGCACTGAAAGTGTTTGACAATTTTCCAAATCTTTAAGACCATCAAAGTCTTTCAAATAATTCGAGGATAAATTTAAAGTACTCAACACGGGCAGCACTTCGAAACCACAATTTTCGATTTTTTTAATATGATTCGATGCTAAGTTCAGTGTATCTAATTCTGTACAGTTTTCCAAATTTTCTATGCGTTTTATTAAATTATTTTGTAGAAAGAGGCATTTGAGTTGCTTCTGATTATCGAGACCCTGTATTTCGGAGATGGCATTACACTCCAACCAGAGACATTTTAAACCGGTATATTCCTCCAAGCACTCAATGCAGTCGATGCCTGTGGAAGGGGAAAATATGTCATGAAATAAGCAGAAACATTTGTGTCCTCTTTCCCTGGAACTCTACAGCTTGAGTCAGACGAAAGAACTTATACCCAATGAAAAAGATAGAATGAGCAGACAACCGCTCCACTTTCAACTCCATATAGGTGGAGAGTGCTTACCAATCACTCCTAGATTGCTGAGAGTTAAGGGATCTTAGACAACGCAACTCTATGAAAGAACTTCGAAATTAATTATTATAGATTTCAAAGGGAAGAGAATAGCATGTGTTTTAAGATACGGTAGACAGAGAATATAGATCTTTTATTAAGCTCCAAGCATTTGTGTGTTGTGGGATGGGCGGAGAAGGCCGTGGTATCGTACGAAATTCTTAGATTCACCTCTAAACAGCCCTCCCAGCTCTTCCTACAACTACTCACCCTGATAATGTAGATAGAGTACATCATTGAGCGCTGGCGTTTGGTAGAGTTTATCTTTTTTGCAGAGTTCCTTTAGACGTTTCTTAGTGATGCGCGTCAAGCCGGTTATTTCCTTTCGTTCAGTTTTTTCGTTACCAACAGTCTCACATAATTGGGATCCCTTCCGATCACCGCTTACGTAATAGCGTTCCATAACTGCTCTGTTTATTGGTTTTCGTCTTGGGAGCGCTAAGTATTTGACCACTTACGTTTTTTTATTATATTGTTGTTGTTATTTCTTAGTATTATTCCTTAATTAATGTTTTTTTCAGTATTCCCTTAATTTTTTCTTTAAATATCAAAATAGTTAATTTTTTTTTGCTTTTGACTCAATAAAAAATACACTTTGAATTTCATTTCAAATATACGAGCGTTGTATGTTTGTGTGGTTATTGATTACACAAAGTTATTTTGTTGTTGGTAACAGTTGCCCGGTACAGTTGCAAGTTCTTGAAGTGAGTAAATCGAATATGTACTTAATGCGCTACGGCAACCGCAAGAGCCGAGTTGCTAGCAGTGCGTGCTACCATTCGGAAGGGCAGTGCTCGAGTCCTGTTTTGAACAAACCGCCAATATTCTAGAAAATTGGTTTTTTCTACGTATGGACGTCCCACCGTAGGGAATATCAAGTTCTTCGAATGTATTTCTGACCTGAAATAAAATGTAGAAACCTTCATTTGTTAAAAAAAAACATCAAGGCGCAAACCACAAATTGGAAGAGGAGTTCGACTGAAAATCGCTTCAAATTAACAATTCATTCATTGGAAGCAGAAAGAGATAGAAGACATCTCTTAACAGCTCTTGTGTGTATTTCCGACCACTATTGACTATATGACTAGTTTAACCTAACCATACTTATTCCATACAGGACTTAGGTAGAAGTGGAGTATGCTTACGCAGGAGTTTTGCCTGAAGTAGTATTTTGATCTCACATTTTTCAACGAATAAAACATTTTTTCAAAAATAAAATTTAATTCTTAAATCACATCGAATTGATATGATAATAATTTGTACGAATACTTTTATAACATGTCGAACAGATTGAAAATAATGGAGAAATACACATGCAACCCATCATTTTTGCTAATGCAACCCTGCGAATATACAGCTGTTGCACACAACTGACAGTTGTCAAGAAAGCAATACAAAAAAGCAAACGAAAGCGAACGTGTAAAAAACAACTTTTGTGACAATCCCAAAATAGCTAAACTTTTGCGGATACGAATATACTTTTTTTTTTTTTTATAAATTTAAACAATATTAAACAAACAAAAAACGCAAGAAAATGTGCTAACTGTGGTGTGCTTAAAAATGGAAACATATAGAAAGTAACTCTACAGAGTTGTGATGGTGTTATTTTTTTGTCCATTGCCAAATGTTTATCGTTGTTGTTGTTGAACGTAATTAATTCTTCCATGGTCATTCATATAGCATTCTACGTTTTATCTTTTCTGCAATATATGTACATGATCGTATATTATTCAACATATTTTGTTTAATGACAAAGGTGTTGGTGCGGTTGGTGAACGAAAGTGTAATAACAAATTGTGAATAGGTAAAGGTGATATTAATAATAGTATTATGTATTGTATGTTCTGCGAAATATAGCGTTCCAATTTTTCATTAATTACAGCGACAAACAAAGTATAAAGACGACGGCTGCTCCGTTTGAAAGTGCATAATATAATTTATTACCATTAGTTATTGTAAAAAGACTCGCTAGCATAGCTTATTGGCGAAGCAGTTATTAGTTTCTCGCAGAAACAAAGATAAGCCACTCCCTACACGACTTGAAGATTTGTGTAATGTGGCACAGCTGAAAAGATGGATCCACAAAAAATTACTGAATTGGCAAGATTACTACGTAGAAATGGTGATAAAATATTAAGTTCAGAGTTTTCTTTAACGCTATCGGGTATGTAACTAATTTATGTACTCCTTTTTTTTATTAAATTTAATCAATTTAAGTTTATTTCGCTGACTACCGTCATTAAATAGTATATTTTTTAGCTGTTCACTTTTAATTTTTTTTATTTTCCTTTATAAGTGTTTTGCGCAATTTCATTGCTTTGTCTAATACAAATCTGTTCGTCAGTAAAGAAAAAAGTAACAGTCAAGTGTGGAAAATTAGTACTTTGTATCAAGTTAATTTTCTTAAGTAAAAATCTCAAATATTGCCGGCATATGTAGTATATTAATTAACAAAAGAATAAAAATAATTTATTTAACCATGCCACAGTGTGTGTGTATTTCCAATTTGAACAAAAGTAAAATTGTCAAGCAATTGCATATATATTTGTATGTATATATGTGTGTATGGATCTACATATATGTATGTATTTATATGTATCTTTTAATTTACTATGATTAGTTGTCATTATTATTATATTATATTTTGTTTATATTGTTGGTTGAGTGATTACGCAAGGCGCAAAATTAGTTCAAGCTTGAAAAGAGCACAATCAGTCGTTATCAGTTTCATTTGCTACTGTAACCTATCTATCATGCAAAAGCTTAATGATTTTTCTATTAACAAGTAATTACGTGTGTAATTTTTTACAGGTTCACTGCTACGCGCGTTAAATGACTCATTTACGCTTATCACAGATGGTGCTGTTGAAATCGGAACTTCGACGCAGACTTTCCAAGTCGCAAAGCCAGTGAATTCACGTTCACCTGTTTTCATTGATTTACAGCTTATCTATGATTTTGTACAAAAGGCACCACTACTATGTATCGTACAATACCCCACAGATGAGTACTTTGACGGTACTATTGACATAAGTAAATTCCGTGCATTACGTAGATTAGAGTTGCAAAAGACAAATGTGCGACAAGTGGTTGGTATACAACGACTGCGTGCGCAACTGCAACAGCTTATTTGTGTGAAGAGCCTCACTGGCGTTGAGGATGTGATAACACGCTGTGGTGGTGACAATTCCAATGGATTTGTTTGGAATGAGCTGAAAATTGCTGACTTCAGCTATAATAATTTACAACGTATTGATAACGCCTTAGAATTTGCGCAATTTCTACAACATCTTAATCTGCGACACAATAAACTGCGCAGCGTGGAGGCCATTAAGTGGTTGCCCCATTTAAAAACTCTCGATTTAAGCTATAATTGCCTGCAATGTGTGCCACAATTCCATATGGAGGCCTACAAACGACTGCAAACATTGAATATGAGCAATAATTTCGTTGAGGATCTCATGGGCATTGCTAAATTAGATGCGCTTACAGATCTAGATCTCTCCGATAATTGTCTGCTAGATCATACCTGTTTGTTACCGCTAAGCGCGCTCATTACACTCAACTATCTCAATCTTTATGGTAATCCGCTTTGCTGTCATCCCAAACATCGACTAGCCACTGCACAATTTCTACACAAAAACACGGCAACTGTGAAATTCCTGCTTGATTTGGAACCACTTTCGAAGAGCGAAAAATCTGTAACCGGTAGCCAACAACTGCGACATGTGGGCGCACTCAATCGTTATGCACAACGTTCATCTTCTACTTCCATCAATAGCAGTCGCGTGCCATCTTCAACGCAAACGCCCTCCTCCAGTGTGGGCTCATTGCGTTCGTTTAAATTCAACGATAACACATCGCAGCCAATAGATGCCGTGAAAGCAGTTGAAGGCACTACTGGCATACGTAAATCAGCGTCTAAGGTACGTACCGTCGATATAATGGAAGATGAGGATACAACAACACATACACCTGACGAGCGTGACGAAGCTGTATTAGCCGAAAAACTGAAACCTATAAAGGTAACGCCAGAAAGAGAGCACATATCCGAACAAGATACACAGCACTTGGAGGCAAAGAAGCAAATTGAAACGTTGCGTGAAAAGTATGGTGCCAATTGGCTGCAATCCGGCAATGCCGAAATGTTGCAAAGTGTTTTGGGTAAGTTTCGAAACAAAATATTAAAATTAAATATAATTTTTAATTATTCTACCACTTGCAGGCACTGAAAGCGCAAACGACATGCCCGTTGGCACACCAACGACAGCGAATTCGTCTAGAAAAATGCTCGATGACTTTTTGGGTGAACTTTCAGAATCAGCACTAGCGGCTGCAAACTCCACTCAATTACAGAATACTAGCAATGAAACGTTTAACTATAAATTGAATTCATCAACACCGGTGAGTGATAGTTATTTGGGCGGTGAAGTGTCTAAATTGGAAGTTCTTCCATCGCCAATCCAATCGAGTGCTGCACGTGACAATAGGGATGCAACTTTATATCAAAGCATGAATAGTACTAATGGTAATCAAACGCTTTATAAATCGGCTGACTCGGAGCTTGCATTAATGCGAACGGCAGCAGACTCTTCAAACTCTGCCATCGAAGAGGCAAACACAAGTGATGCTGATGTGGATAAGTTGGAGGAGAATGATGATGACGAGCCAGCACATTTAAAAAATGTCTACTCAAATGCAGGCGATGAAGAGTCGGAAGGTAAGTTTAGGAGAGATTAAATATATTTATTCAATCGTGTCAAGATGATGCTGCCCTAAATATTTCCTACTATCGAAATTTATAAAAAAAAAAAAATGAAAAATGGAAAAATGATAATTCCTTATAAATTTGATGGTATTTTATAAATATTTAAGTTTAATGTTATTACTATTCAATTAAAATTTAATTAATATTTTTTCTTTTAAATTACATTCACTTTAAATATTTTTCTTTTCCTTTCCAGCGTCGGAGGCCGAAGATGACGAAGAAACCTACATTGTTTACACAATGCCACGCAATGAGGCCGTTTTTCTAACCATATCAGAAAATTATCTGCGCATACGTGATACATTAACGCAAAAGTAATTAAATATCATTTTGCATTTCAAACTAATTTAAATATTTATTTTTTTGAAATCATTTTTTGCGTATTACAGAACCATAACAAAATGGAGCTTGCAAATTTTAGAATCCTGTGATCGAATTAAATCAAATACGATACGCATCAACTTTGATACAATCAGAGCGGATAAAAGAGAACGTATCTATACTGTTGAGGATGGTTTATGTCAGGTAAAGGGAATAAACATATGTATATGTATGTGCTGCATACGTAGAATTAAAAATTGAAAATTAAAATTAAAAAATTTTGCTGAAGCAATTTTTTTGATAATTAACACGTTTTTTTTTTTTAATTCGATTGTATATTTTATACCTTTTTAATTTTTTTCTGTTTATACCTTTTTAATTTGCTTATATTTTTTTAATTTTAATTTTTTTTATACCTTTTTGATTTTTTATGCCTTTTTAATTTTTTTTTTACATCTTTTTAATTTTTTTCTGGCCATACCTTTTTAAATTTGATACCTTTAATTTATTTATACCTTCTTAATTTTTATACCTTTCATTTTAAACCTTTTTAATTTTGTTTTTCTTTATACCTTCTTAAAATGTATACCTTTTTTATTTTTTATACCCTTGATTTTTATGTTTTTTTAATTTTTTTATATCTTTTTATTTTTTTCTTTTTATACTTTTTTATATTTTTTCTTTTTATATTTTTTTTATAAAATTGTTTGCTTATTAAAATATTATATTTATTTTTATACCTTTAATTTGCTTCTATTTTTTTAATTTTATTTTACATTTTAATTTTTTATACCTATTTGATTTTTTATGCCTTTTAATATTTTTTTCATCTTTTTAATTTAAATACCTTTAATTTGTATACCTTCTTAATTTTTATACCTTTCATTTTAAACCTTTTTAATTTTTTTTCTTTATACCTTTTTAAAATTTATACCTTTTTTATTTTTTATGCCCTTGATTTTTATGCCATTTTAATATTTTAATATCTCTTTAATTTTTTTCTTTTTATATATTTTAATTTTTTTTTATAAAATTGTTTGCTTATCAAAATATTATATTTATTTTCATACCTTTAATTTGCTTATATTTTTTTAAATTTTTTGTAACAATTAATTTTTTTACATCTTTTTATTTTTTTTCTGGTCATACCTTTTTAAATTTCATACCTTTAATTTATTTATACCTTCTTAATTTTTATACCTTTCATTTTAAACCTTTTTAATTTTTTTCTTTATACCTTTTTAAAATTTATCCCTTTTAATTTTTTTTTAAATCTTTTTAATTTTTTTTATATCTTTTTAATTTTTTTTTTATACTTTTTTAATTTTTTTCTTCTATACCTTTTTTTTATAAAACTTTTTAAACCTTTTTAATTTGTTTCTTTTTATACCTTTTTGAAATTCATGCCTTTATTTTATTTTCGTATAACCTTGATTTTTATACCTTTTTAATTTTTTATACCTTTTTAATTTTTTTTTAATAAATTGTTTGCTAATCAAAATATTATACTTATCTTTATACCTTTAATTTGCTTATATTTTTTTAATTTTTTTTTTAATATTTTAATTTTTTATATCTTTTTGATTTTTTTATGCCTTTTTTAATATTTTTTTACAACTTTTTAATTTTTTATCTGGTTATAACTTTTTAATTTGTATACCTTTGATGTATACACCTTTAATTAATTTTTACCTTTCATTATAAACATTTTGTAATTTGTTTTCTTTTTATACCTTTTTGAAATTTATGCCTTTTTTATTTTTGTATAACCTTGATTTTTATACCTTTTTAATTTTTTTTTTATATCTTCTCAAATTTTGTTTTTTTTTTTTTAATTTTTTTATCTTCTTATACCTTTTTAATTTCTTTTTTCTTTTTACATCTTTTTAAATGTTTTTTATATAAAATTGTTTACTTATCAAAATATTATATTTAAAGGAACTTGAACGCAAATTACGCGACATACTTTCCCAGCGTGACCTCACCGAAATGAACCAAACTGTGTATCGTTGTGTGAATTGTACCTGTCAGTTTGCAGTTGAAACTAAATATAAGTCACATCATCAGGGTATGTGAATTAAATTCCCGAAAAAAATTTTACTCACCATAAACTTTTTTTTTTACGCTAGACATACATTGCCCCGACTGTAAGAGCAGCTTTGTCGCCGAAATACATGACATACCCAAACCGAAAATGGATTTAGTCGCGGAAAAACTCTCACCTGCCGCAATAGTTGAGGAGACAACACCTTTAAGCACAAACACACCGCCAACTTCAAGAGCGTTGACGAAGCTGCAATATAGCGGTGCCTCGCTGGCTACTATTACTACTGCTGCTAGTAATGAAAATGATACAAATAGTATTGGTGAGTGCACGAAAAGCATTTATTGTTTTTATTACATTTTGATGGAACTCCAGTTTTGGTGTTAGTTTTGGTTTTACATTTTAATTATTATTTCTCTAACAAAAATGTAAATTTTGAAAAAAATAAATTTAAAATTATTTTTCATATTTTTTGTTTGAAAATTTGGCATATTTTTATTATTTATAATGGTTTATATTTCTTATTTAAATACTTACTACTTAATGTAATAATCATTTTAATTCTTTTCTTCACTTGCATGCAAAATATCGTCGAAATCAATACATTCACACAACTAATATACAATTATTTTGTTGTACTGTTTACGTATTTGCAATTTTTTCACATTTTAAAAACCGGCAACACTTAAACTACGCATTGCTTAAGTTAAAGGATCAGCCAGGCCAATCACAAATAACTTACCAAAATATAGGATACCACTGCAAGGGCTAAAAAGTTAATATTATTAAATATTTTAAATTTTTTTGTAACAAAAGCAGCATTGATTTTAAAAAAAATTTTCACGAACTATAAAATTTGGAGGAATTTATGTATATTTTTACATACAAATTACATCAATGCTACTTAATTTAGTTGTTTATGTATATTTGTGCTTTCATTTCAAAACCCTGTGCCCAACTTGGTGCCCTTTTTTAAGCACTTGGTTTAAACGTACGTAATATTTTTGAATCTACGGAGTGAAAGGAACTCGTATTTCATTTAATTTTCGAAATTTTCTTTTATTTTTTATTTTTGTTTTTAAATCGGCTTTGAAATTTGTTTGTAAAAAAGCTTTAGAAATTAGTTCATTACCAGTATATGTATGTAGAGGTTCACTTTATAATAATTATTTCTCGCAGAAAATGTCATTTGAGTTGCTCGAATGCCGTTTATTGTTTGTGTGTAAATTTAATTTTAATTTCGATTGCCAGTTTATGTTACCGGAAACCAACCAAACCTTACCAAATGCATATTAACCTCAATAACTAAACCCTCCTAATGGTTTGGGTGCAGGGTAGAGATAAGTTGGCAAAATTTAGCATTATTTTTATAGAAACTCAAACTAATAATAGATTTACAACTAAACTGCTTTTCTTTTTATGTCAACCTCTCCTCCACCAACGGCTCTATTAAACATACCAATCCAAAAAAAAAAAAAAAAAAAAAAAAAAAAAAAAAAAAAAAAATCAATGTCAAACCTAAAGGTTCCGCTAATTCACTTAACGAATCCTCGTCCTGCTCAAAAATTACAAATTCACAAAACTCCTACGATTCTAATCAATCGGTTGTGGGCAGCTCCAATACGGCACGTCAACAGGAGTTTAACGGTGAAAGCAGTGACGTGGACATAATTTCGAACCCCAGTCAATCGAGCATAGAAGTGCTGGATCAACACACAAGCCGTAAAACATCCGAGGAACGACACTTTGAGCAACACATGCCGCCAATCGATCCAATCTATGATCTGAGTTACACACAAAGTTTCATAGAACGCGAATTTGGTAGTGCCGCTAGAGCTGCGGCATTGGAAACGCAAGCGTTTGTTGAAGAGAGTAAGAAAAGCGCCGCAAAGGAGGCGGCCGTAAAAACAAATACACCAGTAACGGCAGCAAATAGCGCAGCAACAATAACTGTTGCACCTGCAAATGTGCAGCTCATCGAAAGCAGCTCATCCGGTTCGGTTACGGATAGCGTTTGCACTGCTTATGAACAAAGACAGCAACAAGAGGAGGAACTCTTACCCGCAACACACTCCTACGATGAGCTACTCTCGAGGAGTGCGGAACAGGCAATACTGCGCAACTTGTTGGCAGCTGAAAGTCTGGCTTCACACACACCGGCGGTAACTGAAGTTAAAGCTAAGTCAGCAAATGGTACGGCCAATGGTAAGCCGTTGCCGAAAAAAGATGATGGCGGCGTGGTATCGTCAATGTTTGGTGGTGCGTATGAAACGAATTTCATTTAACATTTTCCAATTTAACCTTTAAACTACATTTTCACACAGCTCTTGTACAAACCACAAACAATCTTATGTCCAGCTCAAGAAAATCCCATACGCAAACTAATCAAAATCAAGCAGTTGGTGATAATAACTGTCAGCCTTATAAATATAATTACACGGATTTCAACGATGTGGATCATCGCTTGAAATTATACTTTTTCCAAACTAAATTCGATGAGAACGAGCAATTCAAGTGGCTGGCACGTGGACGCATCTTTAATGAGCAAACCAAAACGCTTAGCGCCGGCATCGTTGTAATGTCCACATGCAAGTGCTATTTGATGGAGGCTTTTGCGGCCGAAAATGAAGACGTTAGCAAGTGGCTGCGTTTAGTGGTGAGCGTTACGGCAGATCGACTGGAGAGCATACAATTGTTGCCCTGGAAAATAGGACTGGTATTTACTTTGCGCGATTGGGGTAATTTTCTGCTGTTGCTACAGGATATACTACGTACCGATAGTCTGTTGCTATACTTTGCAAGTAAGTTGACGCTGTTAATTCATACATACATATATATATATATATATATCTACATGTGTATGTCTAACAAATGTCTTATTTCCAATTTAGATAACGCCTTGCCCTCACAGTGTGAGCTGCAATACCAACCATCGGCTGTGTTAGTGCAGCGTCTCAATACCGTTGTCGGTGATGAGCAACTGAAAATGTGCGCTTTACTCAACGCTTGTGTTGTGACGTGTGGTCAAGCAAAGCGTAGCTTAAACAATTGCACACTTCTAGCCACAGACACACGTCTTTGTATTAGCACAAGTAAATGTGATTGGCTCTCTACCACAGTGGTTGACTCAGAAATCGAAATATGTCTAACCCAATTAATGTCAAATCTGGTCGAGGTGGAGCACGTTGACGCTAATACTTTCGTAATCAATTACCTAGACGAAACTCAGGATCTGAGTGAAATATGGCAGTGCACTTTTGAGACACCGGAAAATGCAAGTAGCTGTCTGAATGCTATATCGCATTCGTGGGAGCAACTGTTCGGCGTGTCGCTTTTAAGTACCACATGAAAACTACTAAAGTAAAATTATAGACAAACAGACCCATATATTAAATATATAGACAAATAAATTTTTTACTAATACGAATTGAACGCTGGGTGCAGCAACAAGCTATAATATCGACTAAGGTGTTAGACAACTAGATACAAACATAGTTGAAGCCATATACTATTACATACATATATTTTAAGGAATTTATTAAAACAAAACTATTTTTAACGAATTGATAGAAGTTTATACATACCTACATACAATGCAAATAACTTTATATAAATGTATGTTTAATTGTTTAACGTTAGTTCTTGATATGTGCATATATACATTTATACTAACCTTTTATCTACCCAATCAATTAATGTGAAATTAAAAAAAAAAAAAGTTTATGTATATTTTACCATTGTTTGACTTATGTTTAATTCCATTTATTACATACATATATATAAAAAAATATATTTCAGAAAAAAAAAACTATTTCTTATTAATAACACTTTGTAAAGTCCTCTCCAAAAATCGAAACAATAGATGCACTAGTATAAGATGTTGTAGTTGTTATTGTAACGGCTTTTCCAACCCAGTTTAAGGACAGGCAAATTAATCTAAGTTGCCGAAGTCATCTAACTGTAGGTCCAGGAAACGAGCTATTTGAGTTCAGATCCAAGGGAGAGGCGGGTTAGATGTGTCGGTTTTAGGGGGCTTATAAAGAGGTGGTTAGTGTCGTGCGGAGACTCAATACATAATGGACATACCTTAGGTATATCGGGGTAGAGTCTGTATAAATAGGAGTTTAACCTACTAAAATATCCGGTTCCAAATAGCACGAGTATTCGCGAGGCGAGGAAGAAAGCAAAATATTATAATTTTTATGTATATATATATTTATGTAATATTTATTTTCATTTCTAAGTACAGTACAGTGTTGTGTTCATAAATCTTACAATCTACTGCTTAAATGTGTTAACTGTGCCACCCTCGATATAGCGGTATGGTCTCGCACGTATACGCTTCGCGAATGCCTTTATATAGTGTTTTTCCCGATGATACTCGACTGGATTGTAAAGCGGTCCTTCAGTCTCCAAAAATATATCAAAGCTGTACATGGTACGTACAAGCTGTGTAGCTAGCAAAGCCAGAGGATGTTGCAATTGAGCTTGTGTCAATGAATTTGTCCAAAACTCCATCGCTTTCACCGCTGCACTATTCATAGCATTGTGTTGACCATTCCAGTAAATGCATATAAACCAGAGTGGGCTTTCAGTTGGAAATTTACTACTTATACTAACGAGGCATTCCATTTTGGCAGAACCGCGTACAACCACAGCACGATAGTATAGTTGATTACCATTGACAAGCTCACTGTCATTGTATGGAGCTGATGTGGCATACTCTTCATACGTTAGAGCTGTCCACTGTACAAGACTGCATGCAGGGCGTGTAGTGGGTAAACGTTCTTCCTTTAGATATAAATCAATATGTTTTTGCACTAAAGCACGTATTTGTTTGATTAGGTTTAAACGATAATTCCATAGTTGTTGTATAGATTTGATTAGATCTGGTATCATTTTCTGTAATTTTGGTTGCTCTGTTGGCGTAGCTACAACCGATGTATCATTTGCGTCATTAAAAATTTCAATACAACACATTTTCTGCAACCAACGGTAGGGTCTTCCATATTCCTTGCTTTTTAAATGGTCCAAACATTCCTTCGTTGTCATATTTATATGTTTCAATTCATATTCTGCACCTGGTACTGGTATGGTATCACCCACATCATCATCATGTAAATATTTGAGCACATCTTGTGTGAGCGTTGCATCAGCATAATTTTGTTCTGCGTCACTCAAACTTATTACTGTTGCCGCAGAGACGAAGCCCAAACGTTTAAAATAACGTAATTTCACCGTAATAGATTCTTCCATACTCTTGGCACCATTGTTAATGGTGAAACGAACTTCTAGAGGATGTGGTTGTAAAATGCGCTTTCGTTGTTCTTGCATCAGATCCAATAGAAGATCGTTGTTGCCACCATGTGTTTTACGTTTTTTTGCAACGCTACCAATATCTAATTCATCCGTATCGGAACTGGCATTACTCTTAACAACTTCGGTTTGTGCCGCTATTTCCAGCTGACGCACATCATCCTCACTACCCACCACAACTACACAAACATCACACTCTTTGGCTAGCTCTAGTGCATGTATATTCATATATGCGAGATAAAGTGGCTGCGGTAACAGCTGTACCAGTTGCTGCAATTTCCACTCACGATCCATAGGTACTTGCAGTGCATCCTGTAGTGGTCGCGTTGCCTTTAATAGGGTGCGCAATGACGGCGCAAACGATGTCAATTTCTCTGTTTTCAATATAATATCCCTGAACACCTGCTGTTTGGTATTAAGTAACTCCTTGCATTGTGCAGACAATTGCTTACGTAAGTTCAATTCTCTTTCAAGCCGTGCCAAATGCTTAGCATGTCCGGACAATGGTGTCATGTCTGTAGGCATCAAAGTTTTATCATCTTCGGTTTTTTCTTCATCTTCTGGCACCAATTCTATATCCTCATCTTGACTTTTGAATTTATGACAATAACGAATCTCGCGTTTCAAATGATTAACCTCGTAAAGAAGGTTTTGTAAATGCAGGCGATTACTGTCTACACGCACTTTTTCACGATGCAGATCTTCTCGCCCAGAACGCAGACTATACTTTACCATACGATTAACTTTTTTGATCAGAACAAACAAGAGCGAAGCGTATTTGCGTTTCTCGGTTAATTCATCGGCTCTTTCACGTTCGCCAGAACCATTTTTCATTTTGAGTACTTCCTCGAAGATATTTCGAAGTGTTTCGAAATTTTTATGCAAGGAATTGGCCATAATATTTAAAATTAGTTAAAAACTACCGAAACAAATAAATCAACGAAAAGCTAACAAATTGGCAGCCGGTGACATATAAAACATATTGCAGGGTTGCAATTTCGCTTGAAAATTGGTGAACATTTGGAAAGGAATATGTAAAGCAATATTCGGTTACAAGTAAATCATTATTATTCAAGAAGTTGTTTTTCAAATGTCAAGATATTGTTACTGTAATTAGAGTTAAGGTTTTTAATTACCTTGTTTCCATTGAAAGTAAATCACATTTATAAATATTAGTAATAATTGGTGCACTAACCACTGAAGGGGTTTTAAACCAATTCCAATTTGGGCTTCTTGAAGGTTTTCCAAAGCACTCTCCGAAAAGCTGTATTGGTTTTTATAAGGAGTCCTAATTTCTGGCCAGAAATACAATCAGAAAGGCTACCGCAATTAGAAAAATTAATTAAATTCATTTTTTATTTAATTTGTATTTCAATAAATGTTGAATATTGGTCGGACCGGGTATCGAACCCCTTTCCAATGGCAGTACGCGCTGTTAACCACTCTGATTATGAAACATGAGATCGGTTGTTCAATTCAATCTTTCGTCAATCTAACACCGTCAAAAAGAATATAAAATATATAACAGCCGTTTGTGCGGTTTTTTTTTAATCTACATTTATTTGTGTCAACATTTAACAGCGAAATTCAATACATAACCCAGCATGTCCTGAATTACTTGTAGCTCAACTGCTCAGCAATCCAATCAATATTTTCCTCATAATATCGAGGATCCGATACCGTTAAAGCCGTTTCCTTGCAAGCATGATAATAAACTAGAGATACTGCAAATAAATTAAATACACATAATACTAATTCTGAAGAATTTTTAAATTAATTAGTCTTTTTCTAGTTACCAAGTCGCTGCACAAAAGCCAAAACGATCAAAGCATGTGACCAACTTGTTGTTGGCTCAGCTATCATATTGTAAATAATCCAAAAATGCTGCGCAGCCGAAAGCAGGAAGTATGTAAGAATTGTGAGCAAAAAGAACTTGCAATTACGCAAAATTACCGAGGCGCCGCCGACCTACATATAAACAAAAAAAAAAATAAGCATAAAAAATCTTTGTACTCTTTCAGAATTGTGTTTATTACACTAACCTGATAAACACAAGTGGAATGTACAGTAAAGGTGATAAGGACATATTCGCAGATAATCACAATATCCTGGCAGCTGGAAGTTATTACACAAAATCGGTGAAATTATTCAAGATTTCTTTTCACAAACATACTTACACAAAGAGCAGTATTGAAAACTGCATTTTCGAGGGAAGAAAAAAATGTGCAAAAGTATTGAAAAACAAATCGAATAGCAAGCAGGTAAATTGAAGGCATAGTAATACCGCGTAACGCCGTAGAGTTAATTTCATTTTTGAAATTTAATGAAAGGATCACTGAAATTGAATAACTTGGTTTCAATGGAAATATTTATTTTTTAAAACTTGTACATGCACTTATTTATGTATTAATACATGTACAACGCTATCCTCTGACGTCAAATAAACGCAAGATGTTAAGGATATTCGTGGGTTTTCACACGCATGCGCATTTTAAAGGACTACTATGGCAACCCATACTTCTACAGTGCAACAAATGTAATTTTTTTCTTTTAATTCTTTTATGTTGTTTATTTTATTCTATTAATTTTTTAAGTTTAATTGCATTAATTCCATATAAAATTACTTAAAAAGTACGACGCATGACATACAGGGTTTCGGCATCGGAATTGAATCCAATCAGAAAAATAATGCTGTTATGGGGAAGCGTGGATGGTAGACAGATCAAACGAAATATCTTTGCCGTGTCCGTGTCCGGTCTTTAGCCGATTGCTCCAACCCCCCGTAGGTGGGTGGAAACGTAAACATTTAGAAAATCAAGCGAACCTTTCGCCAACGCTTAGTCGGGTCGGACGGGTGAGCACAATGACCGGAGAGGAAAACTTCAAAGGATAATCCACGTTAAGCTATATGTAATTGCGTAGCTTGTAAACACAAAAATGAAATCTAAGCAATGAAATCAGAAAAGGTACAAAGAGAATATACTTTTTGTTCGAATTTCCCAATTCAAATGGGATTACAGAACCATCCGTGTATTCAAGGTGCAAAACCAAATACCAGCGGGTCTCAGAACAGCCTCAATTGAAGTAATTATGAAGATACAATTTTCTTACACTGATAAATTTTTATTTACAAAGTCACTACTCACGAGGAACATGGAGTTTTAACCCCATGCGGATTAGTGGCTCAAGATTTACCCGCGGTAAGGCATGCCTGTCGTAAGAGGCGACTAAAATCCAATAGTTCCCGCGACAGTCAGGTCTTTATACCGGAACGACCCGGATTTTTATCCGGCCAAGGACTGTCACTCCCGCAACATTCCCCAAAAAGTACTTTGGGGAATAATTTTGCGGTTACAACAACAACAACAACATGGAGTTTTAACTATATTCATCATTTTCTTTAATATTATTCTTTTTTTTTTTAGTGTAAGCACAGCGTTAGGGAATCAATATATTTGTTCGCCCGTGTTTCGGCACTAGGCAACGTTAGAGGTCGCCCATAACACTATAATATAAATGTCAAACTTTGACAACTTCGTGACAGCTGTCATTTTCTCGCCCATTTCCGTTTCTTTCTACTGACAACAATAGCAAGATGAAGTACGTTTCTTTCCTAATTGTAAATTTTAATTTATTTATTTTACAAACATCTTGTACAAAAAGTGAAGTTCACAGCAATTTTTGTTATATTTGTAACTAAAACTATGTTTGTGCATTAAAATTTTCTGTGAAGTAATTGTGTTTTCTACCTATTTACAGAATCGGATTGTGTTCATTCAGTGGGTACAAAATCTACCCCGGTCATGGCAAGACCATGGTCAAGGTTGATGGAAAGGTATTTATATTGGTTTTTTTAAAGCTTGGTATTGTGTTTTAAATTAAATTTTTGTTCATTATAACAGACCTTCACTTTCCTCGACAAGAAATGCGAACGCTCCTACCTGATGAAGCGCAATCCACGAAAGGTCACCTGGACTGTCTTGTACCGTCGTAAGCACCGTAAGGGTATCGAGGAGGAAACCACCAAGAAACGTACCCGCCGCACACAAAAATTCCAACGTGCTATTGTTGGTGCTTCACTTGCTGAAATTATGGCTAAGCGTAACATGAAACCTGAAGTACGTAAGGCCCAACGCGATCAAGCCATTAAGGCTGCTAAGGAGCAAAAACGCGCTACTAAGGCTGCAAAGAAGACCACACAGCCTGCTCAGGCTAAAGCTAAGGCTGCTCCCAAGCAGAAGGCCGCTAAGGTGACGCAAAAATCTGCCCCCCGTGTTGGAGGCAAGCGGTAAATTAGTGCTTTCGGCGGTGACATATCCAAATGCTTTGCATAAGGAGTGTGGGGTTATGATTTAAGAAGTATAAGAAGGCGTTTGTTTTCTAATATGTGAAATTAAAAGTGAAAAAATAAAAATTATCGCGCGAATGGAAATTTGCGGGAAAAACACAAGTTTAGTGAATCTTTTTTTCATACGAATATATGTAAGTGCTATAAGTAGGCACAGTGGTATCAACAAACTAATTGGACTAGAAAGTTAGTATTTTTGCCCTGCCTATCGGTGTAAATTTAATCCGCACACCTATTGGAAATCATTCCTATACTCGCTACCACTAAATGGAGTTATTATTTAAATGTTTTAAGCAAAATATCAAACTAATTAAAATAACAATTCAATAGTTGGTTTAGAATCAATTCATATTTTTATTAATATTATTACGTTGAGTAAAACATTTATTTATATCAAAATTCGAGAGCACTTTCAGTTCAATCACACTTTTTTAGAGCAGAACTTAAAAAAATATTATATATAAAGAAAATACATTTAAACTTAATTATGAGAATATAAAAAAATTAATGTAGATTCACTTGATCATTTTCGTTGGGTATTTGTTGGGACGAGTATTTGTCTACTTCATTAATATTTAATTAGAATTATACAGTTGCTTATATTACAGCTCATCTAATTTGTGTTTCGAATACACAGGCTCGGTGGCGCTGAGATTCGGATTGGTCATATAAGAAATAAAGTCTTTGCTACTACGTCCACCACTGTAATCAGCTTTCGTTTTAAGGTATGAAAAGTAAATAATTGTGGGATAACCGTTAACACCATGTGACTGGCAAAGGCTTTGATGTTTGGTACAATCCACAGCGGCAAATACCACGCGTGGATCATCTTTCAACGCCTCTGCTGCTGCACTAAATTCCGGCTTAGTTTTCTTGCAGTGGCCGCACCCTGTAATAATGATAAATAAATATAAATTGGTTGAAACAAAAGGTGTTATTTTAGCTTACAGGGCGCGTAGAACATAACGAGCGAATGCTTTTTACGTTTCAAAAGTGTGTTAAAATTGTCTTCGTTCAAAAATATAACTTCAGTGTCTTCTTCGTCTTCCCATGGTTTCTCTGGCGGTGGTGGTGGTGGTGGTTCTTTCGGATCACGCATGAATTCAATTATTTTAGCTGCATCCCGCACATTCACATCGAATTTGAATACACCATTAACAAAATATTTTAATGTTGGATAACCGCGCACTTTAAATTGATCGGCTATTTCCTTTTCTTTAGTTGCATCTAATGCCGCTAATACGCCAGGTATTTTTCGCTCTTTCATAGTAACGGCTGCCTTTTCATATTCGGGCTTCATGCGCTTGCAATGTCCACACCATGGCGCATAAAACATAACCAATACCGACTTCTCATCTTTCAATGCCGGTTCAAAGCCTTGATTTGTCAAATGTACAATTTCGGAATTTGGATCAGCTGACCAATCTGATTCTTTCTCCTTTTGCACCGGCGCAGCATTGGGATCTAGCATAAATGCAACAATGCCGTCTTTGTTATTTTCGCCTTCATACGTCCGTTTTACTTGGCCACGCTCGAAATAAAGTATTGTTGGAAAACCTAGCATTATTAAGGAAAATGGATTTGTAGATTTTTTATATATAAATTGAAAAACTGTGTCTATTACCTGTTATGTTATAAGCACGTCGTGCTGGCGCATTTTCCACACGTTCTACATCCATTGCAGCAATCACATAATTTTTACCACTTAGCTCTGTAGCGGCTTTGGAATAGTCAGGCTTGAGTCTCTTACAGAAGCCACACCAAGGTACGTAGAACATTATCAGCATTGGTCGCATATCTTTACGTAAGTGTCGTTGAAAAGATGTGTAGTCGGCAAAATGTAGTACGTCGCTGCCTGCAGGATCTTCTTCCCACGGCAAGTCTCCCGCCGGGTCTCTCATGAAATTAACCATGGATGAAACACTAACTTGACGGTCGTAATCTTTATGAAAATCACCATCCTTATAATGTTTGAATGCGTATGGATTGGGCGTAACTTTTAATTTTTTGCAAAGTTTTTTGCGATCATTTTGTATGCAGTCAATTAATACCATAGTCCCTGTTCCACGTACAACATCCGCTGATTCACGAAATACCTTTAACTCAACAGGTGCTTCCTTTACACCGGCAACAAACATCACTAAAACATTGGTTTTTGTGCGTATGAGCTTTTTAAAATCCTTGAATTCGGTTATATCATCTACAACTGCATTTTTAGATTTAGTCTTGGCTCCACCTTCCTTACTAAGCAAGGCTAACAGTATGAAGCACTAAAATGATTATATAGTAGAAATCAGCAAAAAACATAAACTTTAAATCAACTTACACTGATAGCTAGACTCCGACAGTTCAGAATCATTTCTACGTTATTTTCCAAAGATACAAAAGTAAAACTTATGAATTTTACACAAATATGCTTTTACTTATGAAATCAAGTCTACTTTTAACAAAAAACTTAACTTTTTGTTCATAATTTCAGCAATAAATGCTACAAATCATTTAATGGAAACCAATCACTTGCACACCCACACAGCTGACAAAGAATTTGATGACGTTTGAAGATTCCGTATTGGCATGCAACAGAAAAGCCGGTATGCAGGGTTGAATCTGAAGAGTGATAAACCCAATTGTCTGACGTCACAAAAGCAGACTCAATAACGTTTACTAAAGACACCTCGATAACTTAAACTAGTCTGGATTGCTCCTAAGCGGGGTTGGATAGCCTCTGAAACAAGTTAGGCAAAAATATTTTTTTCCAAAGGTCGTGATCAAGATAACACACTTTGAAGCCCTCTTTTTTTGACATTACAGAACTTATTAGTTTCTTCGGAGCGCAAGGAACACTCCAGAGAAATCTATCTTCTTTTCAAAAGAAAGCAATCGCTCTTTTGAAATGCAAAAACTTAGCGGGCTTTCTGAAGGAAATTAGGGGTTTTATGGGAGTAAAAATAATCAACAGGAAAGACCCTTTAATTGTCGGATATTAGAAGCTCTTTCGGAGTATCAAAGGGCCATAAGAAAATAAAATTTTCTGACAGAAAATAAGAGTGCAAGAAACCCTTTATATCCGAAACGAATAAACGAAAAAATTAAAAAAAATTAAAAGCAATTTAAATTATTTCGATTTAAAGTTAAGTTTTAAAAGTTAAATTATAAGCCAAGATATTACAACAACAACGACAAAACTCTCACTTTTGTTCAATTTACAGAATTTGCGCTAAAAATTAATTATATCGCAGTACGCTTTGTGTAAGTTCTGCTTGCAAAAAAAAATCGTTTCCAATTTGTTTTGTTTTCAGTTTCTTTCCACTCTTTTCTTTAGCAACAAAATTTTTGTTTACATCTTGCCTGGGTTGTGTGTGACTATCAGAATTAGCATAGAAATACGTAAATAGCCTTTATTTCTTAACTATTAATTTACGTTAATCAGGAAGGAAAATAAAATCCTAAAATTTCTCCCACAAGAATGACCATCCTGTTTTATTTATTTATTAAACATTCTTTTTAGATTTATGTTACGAAATTTTCATAATACAAATGATACATCATTTCCTCTCATCAGGGCCGATACATAAATATCACAAGCAGATGTCGCGAAAAAATTGCTATTAACAGATTTGCTTCAAACGTTCTTTAAGCGTCGCTAATTTTTTGTTTGGATCGGTTTTTTTTTTGAAATTCGGTTTTTATTAAGTTAGTTTCATTTCAAAAGTTATTTTCGAGAAGATTTAACTTTTAAAACGGATTATTTTTAATGTGAACACACTCTCAATGGCTTGTGTTTGACAATTGAAACGCTTACAGCGACATTCGCTTCAAGCGTCAAAATTTTTATTTGAAAACAACTGAAATTTTGTACAGCAGCCAATGCGAAATGCAAGCATTTGTATCAAAAAATTTACGCAGCTAATTTTATTAAATTAATTAGTGTACGAACTTATATTCCTCAGTAGAAATAATATTTCGTAATTGTTTTCAAAGATAGAAGGAAATAACCAATATACATATTAATTGTGAAATTTCTTAATCGAAAATTACCATTTGGTCATAAAGTGAGTATAGTTGTTGTACATGCAATGAGTAAGTTTTTGTTGCAGAAAGTAGGTCCCATCACGCTCAGCGAAACACAAAAACAAAAGATGGGAAGGTAAAATATAGGAAAAAAATGAATGCGATGGAAAACAAAGCATAGAGAAAATGAAAAATGAACAATTACTGAAAATTAGGAATGAGTCGTTTTTGTAACTCGTTAATTAAATATAGTGCGATTTATTTAAAATTTGTATTTAATTCTTGAGTGTCAATGACCGTGCCTCCATTCTGTATGAATTCACAGTACGCAAAAGTAAAGGCGACGCCTGGGCTCGCGTCTCTGGCAGTGAGCAGTGGACATTGGTTACAACAGTCGCGGCAGCAGCAGCAGCAGCAGGTTCAGCAGCAGAAGCAGTTGACAAATAGTATTCTCGTACAGCCTGTAACGGTGAGAGCAGCAACCGTGGTTCAACCGCAAAAGGTAAGGGCGCAGGAAGCCAGTACTAGTGGCTTCGTTGGCCCTGACAAACTCATCTCGTCCAATATTACAACGGCACATATGACGCCCACCAACACAGATACGCCGTTACGACGCTCCGAAGTAGGGGTATTTCGTGATGGCGCACGCAATGCCAACGTTAATCTGGGCACACCATTCAATGATGATGAAGAAGAACGACGACAAGCACGTCGACGCACAATGTTGCAGAGCAGTAATGGTAGGGAATCTATGTTTGAAGAGAATGAAACGATGAAAAAATGTTTGGAAATTTATTATGGAAATAAACTGAGTAAAGAGAATGCCTGGTCGTTATCGTTAATAGACACGTTATCAACTTTGCTTGACCGCCATCACAAATCTATGAATAACTTTAAGGTGAGTGACCTGGTGTGCTTTATTATTATTAATGGTTATAATGGAATAACCGAGTGACATTATTATCCAAATTAGTTATTAATGAATTTTTTAAAACCTTACAGGTCGCTGGTTCTTCATTAGAGGCTTCATCTAAAGTTTATGGCCTGCGCGTTGATTCAGTGCACACAGATGTGTTACGAATGTCAGCTGGTTTAAATGCTCAAAAGTTCAATGAGCGTCAAGCGCAGAATGATGACGATGACGATGTGGCAACTGGCGGTGAAGGTAACGCAGACCCAAATGCCTCGGCTGCAGGATTAAATGAAAATGGCGAAAAGATTGCTGAGAAGCCCAAATCTAAACCAAAACGTACACGTCGTATTGTATCAACAATCACTAAAAATAAGGATACACTAAATAGCCGCTTAGATACGGTGCCGTTGCAAGATCCAGTGTTCGGCAAATTAAATACCATTGTTGGTTCAATAAATTCTTCAAATCGTTTGATGAACAATATACTTTTAACCACCGAATCTGAGTTGCGTTTACGTACGACCTTTCGTTTCTGGGATGTGCAAACGATAGAGCGAGGTTGTGATTATACTGCGCCACCTGAACCCACGGCATCGGCTGAAAATGTTGCCACGAATGCATCGGAATGGGCATCCTGCGAGCGTTTGATGCAAATTAGACGCATTGATGATTTGAGATTGCGACCGCTGCATACGGGCTATGTAATCTCAGATACACCTGAAGAGTTACCAGAGCATAGTGATGAGCCGGGTAGTTTGCGTAACAGTATGGATGCTCCATTCGATGACGGACCATTCAATGGCGGTGATGATGGTGGTGGAGGTGCTGGTGAATATATGTCCATGGCGTTCGATCTGAATGCAGAATGTGAACCACTGCCAGCGTTAAACGATCAACCCGCTATGCTTGATGTAGATTACAATGACTTCGAAGAGCTGACTACCGGTAAGTAACAATGTTAAATAATCCCAATTAACTAATTATTTTATACATATTCATTTGCAGAGGAACGCAGTGCTATCAACAACTGCCGCGGCTTACGTAAAGCGCCTGTGCTGCTAGAAGATCTACGTCCAGTAGATGCTAGCTCAAAGTTAGAATATTCCTATCGGCCGTTGGATAAAATATCACAATTTTGGGCTGGCCCATCTCATTGGAAATTCAAGCGCGCTCGACCGCGCTCATCAACACATGCAACGCTGCAGGGCGTAAATAATCAACGCGCGACTACACGTCGTGGTCAAGCGCTTAGCAAGAAACGATCAAAGCAATTGCAATTCGAAAAGGAATTCGATGATATTTTCGTCAAATTAGATAAATTCAAAGAGCGTAAAGCAAACTTTCAAAAGAAATGGGATCAACGGAAGCTCAAATTACCAACTGATTTGCAATTAGATACGGAAATGTTTAATAAATTCAAATGTGCGCCGAGTGCTCTAGTGCAACCGGATGTCGATGACATCGAATCGCAAATGTTGGATGGTGGTGATGGTATTCACGGTAATGATGGTGATATAGCAGATGATCACTTTGCTGATCATGATGGCGGTGTGTGTGGTGATGTTGGTGGTGGTGGTGGTGGTGATGCTGATGGCTTAGCTATCATAGGCGAGAATGCTAGTTTTGGTGGGGAGGACTTTGCGAATGTGTCGTCAGCGGGGTTAGGTGATGGCGGCGATGGTGGTGGAGGTGGTGCAGCGGACCTATCACAGCAGGGTGATGGTGGTGAAGGCGCAAACGATACGGTGTTAGAGATAGCTACAAGTTTCGATGGTGCGCCGAGTAAGGTGAGTACAAGTGAAATAGAAATTAAATAAAATTCTTTTTAATGTGCCTAACATTATATTTATTATACTCCTGCGCAGGTTACAAAAATCATAGTGCCCTTCGCGAAACGTGCGAAAGTAATTGATATGAAAAACTTGAAACGTTGTTGTACGCAATTAATAAATAAACAAATGAAAGCACCAACGCCGCCAACGGAAATACCAGAACATCCGATTATACGCGAGGAGCATTATGTACCGGGCATGGCCAGTTTTAAGGATGTATATGAACATTTGCCCGATATATTGTCGCATAACATGTCTGAATCGCTCTCACCCTCAATCGCTTTCTACTCAGTCTTGCATTTAGCGAATGACTTCAATTTACGCCTGATTCCACAACAAGATTTAGAAGATTTCAAAATAAGACAATTAACGGATTGATCACTAAACTGTTATGATAATTGCTGTTTTAGCTGACTATTATGTTTATAAAGGGCGTTAGATGATAAAGATGACGGCGATGACAAATTAATAGTGCAACTTATGACCAGTGTGTTTGTGTGTGTGCGTTATAAAGCAATCGGACCTCCCAATTTTTCAAGAAAAAAAATCATAATAATAAAAATATACATACAACATTATTATTTTTTTTTACATTTGTAATAAAAACCTCGTAAATCAACTAGGAATTATGAGATGTATTTGTACGAAGTTAACTGCGACAACAACAAAACCAATCAATCAATTTAGTATTTAAGTAACCATCAATCTAAACATTCATTCAATTCATTTCTTAAGTACATTTTCTGCAAATATTTGAAAACAAATGAAAAAATTAAAATTTTGAATGTATTTTGCTTTATTTTATGTTTGAAAAAAATATGTGAAATCGAAATGCTTTAGTTGGAGATACAGAAGAAAGAAATCTATTTTTGTTTTTTGGGCGCTATACGCAAATATATCATCTAAGAAGATTCGTTAGGCAAATGATTAATAGATATATAGAAATACATAATATATAATATATATATATATATTTTTTTTTTTTACTGAAAAACGTTTTTTCACTTAGCTTTTTTCGTAAATTTATACTAGTTAAGAATATCTTACTTTCCCACTTGTATTACACAATATTTTGATAATCATAGGAATTCAAAAAATTGAACTATTCTTTAGCTCCTTCTTTATGTCCTAAAGTATTTTGAGACAAAATTTAATAAAATGCTGTTTTCCTTTGAAATTTCCCATGAATTTAGACAACCTTAGACAACCATCAGAATTCGCTTTTATGTTTATATTTGAAAAATTTAAAGTAATTTACTAAAATTAGAGAGAAATGGAAAAATTTAATTAAATTAAATGATAATATATATTAATTAAAAATAACTAAACAAATGTTGAATCGTGTAGAAGATAAATGTAAAAAAAAATTCTCAGTGGAAAGTTTTCTTTAATTTCGGTCTTTTAAATTTCTAAAATTTTTTTGGATGTTTTTTTTTTTAATTTTTTTTTTTAAATTTTTTTTTTGGATTTTTTTTGTATTTTTTTTTGTATTTTAAAAAATTTTTTTTTAAATTTTTTTTAAATTCTTAATTTTTAAAATTTTTTTTTAAATTTTTTTTAAATTTTTTTTAAATTCTTAATTTTTTTTTTGAATTTTTTTGAATTTTTTAAAATTTTTTTTAAATTTTTTTTTTAAATTTAAAAAAAAAATTTTTTNTAACTTTAATTTTTTTTTTTTTAATTTTAATTTCTGATTTGCCTTTTTTTCTCATAAATTTTTCTGTATATTTTTTACATATTGTCCACTGGTAGGTGTCATACTTCAGAATCATAAGAAAGTCGCCTGTTAGCAGCTCTGAATTTTTGTTTTAATTTTTTAATTACAATTAATTTTCGTACATACATACACATATATGTATATTATCCTGTCTCAAAGAAATTTTCAGTAAAATTTGCAGTATTTAATTAAGTTGTTGCTAAAAAAAAAAATCGCTAAAATCGACACACCAAGTCTTAAAACGAATTAAAAATGTGTAACAATTTTAATATTAAAGGTGTAAGAGATTAAGATAGTTCTTACTATATTTTTGTATACTTAAATATATACCAGATTAAAAAGTAATAATAATACTTACTGGCTACTATTTATTTGACTCGGCATAAAACATGTTTCGTGGCAGACAATCATTTAAGTATGAAATAAACTCGTTTCGCATATCAAATAAAATGTACACACACAAGCGTATACAAAATGCATACAAAACACTTAAATCCATATACATACATACATACATTTATAAATAAATACTATAAATAAATTACAGTATATACATACATATAGATACTATAATGATTACTCGCACATTATTTACATATAATTTTATTAATAATAATTACATATTCATTTCATTTAATTTGGAAATAAATTGATTAATTATTAAAATTGAATTTTTTGTTATTTTTTCACTGCGACTGTTTTTCATTCCATTTTATTTTTTAGTTTGCTTTTAATTTATTTTATTTTATTTTTTTTTTATTTTATTTTTATTTAATTTTTATTTTATTTTATCGATTTTTTTAAATTTAATTTTTAATTCTTTATTTAATTTAATTTCATTTTATTTCATTTATATGTTGTTTCATTTTATCTTATATTATTTGTTTTTATTACATTTTTTTTAATTTCAATTTAATTTAATTTTTATTTTATTTAATTCAATTTTTATTTTATTTAATCTCGTTTTTATTTAATTTAATTTAATTAAATTTTATCTTATATTTGGTTTTTTTATGTAATTTTTATTTTATTGAATTTCATTTTTATTTTATTTAATTTCATTTTTATTTTGATTTATTTACTTTTGTTGGCGGCCACAAAAGTCGAGTGGTTAACATTGCTTACTGCTAAGCTGAAGGCCAGCGTTCAATCCTTTTCCGCTCCTCGGCAGGGAATGCCATATTTCCTTTTTATGTATTTTATTGCATACAATTTGTATGTAGCTTTTTTTATTGCGTATTAATTTATTTAACTGTCTTTAATTTAACTTTATTTAATTTATTTTATAACAGTTATTTCTTTTTTATTTAAGTTAGTTTAATTCAAAATAATTTAATTTATTTTATTTAATATAATTTTATATTTTTTTTTTTTAATTTTTTTACTATTTTTTTATTTATTTTATGTTTACTTCATTTTATTTTATTCAGTTTAATTTAGTTTAATTCTGTTTAGTTTAATTAATTTGTTTTTGGTTTTTTTTTTATGGAACTGTTTCAGTACATATCCTTTTAGGAAATAGTAAAAAAAAATACAGCAATAGTTTTTGAAGGTAGAATTTATAGCTTCTATTTCGGAATACACCACGTTTCCTCATCCGTCTTCTTTTTCCAGACACCCTTGTTTGAATTGGACTCGAACTTCGGAGGCCCACAGCACGTGCCAAGGTGTTGTCCCATTAAGCTATATGCGTGCTCACTGTAAACTTGCGCATTGTAGTTGTTTTTGCGAATTACTAACAAATATTTTGAGGCGACGCCAGTTTTATTATTGGAAAATCTCATTCGCACGGCAAAGGCTCTTACGTGATACATAGATGATTTTTCAGTTCATTATACTGTTGAGTTGTTTTTGGTTTTTAATTAATTTATAATAATAATAATAATAATAATAATAATAATAATAATAATAATAATAATAATAATAATAATAATAATTAATTTGTATTTATTTCCTATTACTTAACTTACTTAAATTTAATTTATTTAATTTGTATTAATATATTTTACATTTCTTTTTATTTTCTTGTCTTCAACTTTGTTGAGTTCAATATAAATTGGTTAGAATATAATATATGATTTTTATTATATTTTAATTTATTGTATTTTAGTTTTCTTTATTTGCTTAAATCCAGTTAATTCAGTCTTGTTTAATTAAAATTAAATTCAATAATATTATTTAATTAAATTGAATAAATATATTTTAAATTATTTAATTTAATATGTATATGTAATAATGTATTTTAATTTATTTAATTCTCAAATTAAATGTTATTTATTTTATGTTAAATTATTTTATTTTTTCATTTATTTTTTTAGTTAGCTTAATTCATTATAATTTTATTTTAATTAATTTATTTCATTTCATTTATTTAACTTCATTTTATTTTCAATTTTTAACTTAGTTTAAATTACTGTATTTTATTTATTTAATTTTATCTTTTATTTCATTTCATTTTCACTTATTTCTTATTAATTATTTCATTTATCTAATTTACTTTATTTTATTTTATTTTGATTTAAGTTTTTAATATATATTTCTTGTATTTATTTAAATTTGATTATCTCATTTATATTTTTTTTTTAATTTTATTTTATTTATTTTTAAAATTATTTATCCAATTTATTTTTATTCAACTTAATTTATTATTTATTTAATTTTATTTTGTTTTATATTTTTTATTATATTTTTATGTATTTTATTATTTTATTCTTCATTAGTTAATTGTGATCCATTTTGTTTTATTTTATGCAGTTGAATTATTTATTTTTTTTAATTATTAAATGTTATTTTTATTTATTTGGCATCGCTTAACACAAACTTATTTATTTAATTTTTTTATTTTACTTTTATTTATTACATTAATCTAGTTTAACATAATTTGTTTTAATTTAATTTTAATTGAATTTAAATAATTTTTCTATCTCATATTAAATATTTTACTTAGATATATTAGGCCAAGTAAAAAGTTCGTTAATATTTTCTTTAATTTAATTCATCGGTCGACAATCGCTTCAGTGGATACAAAGCGCCATTTTTATATATATATAATTTAATTCAATTTTTTTATTTAATATTTTTTATATTATTTTGGTTATATTTTAAGGTCAATATATTTTTTTTTTTTTTTTTATTTTAAATTTACTTAACTCAGTTTAAATATTTTAATGCAATTTAAATTATTTAATTTATTTTATTTAATTTTTTTTTAATTTAATTTAATTTTTATTTTATTTTTTCCTTTTTAACATTTTTGTTATTCTGCCACGAAGTCGTCAGTGTGAAAGTGTGAATTTCCCATTTATTCGCTCGCGGTTTAAGCTAAATCTGCACATTACATTTGTAAAAGGCACCCCACTGGAAAAATTAAAATATTTAATCTTCATGATTTAGGATGAAGACTTGCCGACCAACCAGGATACTCCATTTCTCGAATTTTCCTACTTTCTCCCAATCTTACTTGCCTGTTTTCGTTAGACTAGAGATTATGACGTCGGGAAAAATATGAAGGCGTAATCGATTCAACTGGACTGGGGCGTCTTAAAGGTAAGTGCAACAGGGATGTCTACACCATCATCATCATTGGTTGTTCCAACGTTCTGTAGGTCAGCACATATTCTTTTAAATTTTGTCTTTGCTCAACCAATTTAATGTATCTCATCGTCTCCTTCCAAATGTATAACGTTTCCCTTTTCTTGGTTTTTAGGTTCTGGATATTGTAGTATACTCAACTCCTACTTATCTAGACTTGATATTGACATATATACTTAACGTATGCCCAGCAATCAGTTCTCATGACCGTCTCCGCACAGCTCCAATATAAAAACCACTAAGACAGCAGCTTCTTTACAACTCCAATATAAAAGCCTCCCATCTAACATCTATCTTCTTCTCTGCTCTGAAACCTTCTTGCTGGATGATTTCCAAGATATAGGCGTAGTAAGCTACTACACAGCAACAGCAACAGCAACAGCAACAACAACAACTAATTTTAGTAATTTTAACAGGACACAGTCATAAGTTAAGTCCATTTGGCGCTAACTTAACATTAACCCAGAAACGTCAGTAAATCCGAATCTAAAGAATGCGTTGCTGCAGCATGAAGAAAGCTAAATCTAGGATTGAGCAACCTGTCAT